AGATGGTAACTTCTTGACACCGTGGCTGTTCGCAGCGATCATGATAGAAAGTATCAATCGGACTCTCAACGCAGACGGGAGCGGCACACAATGGCGCAGAGCATTCCTGGCAAGCTGAACGCTCTCGAGGCAAACGCAGACGAGTAAACTCAAGTAGTGGACGTGTTGCAGCAAACATTGGGCAGCATACAATGGATGGTCCATGAAGTCGCGGTAATACAGCAGACGCAGTTCACAAACAGTGTGCCTCATCAGGCGAAATATGGTATGAGTGTCTGGCGTGGTGGCGAGCAACATTGTGTAACAACTAGTGTTCAACATAAGTTTGCCAAAGTGCAAGACACACCGCCTCTTGGATTTCAGCCCAATGATGGGCAGCACCAAGGAAACAGTTTGGAACGTTTCTGCAATGCGGACTCCATGGCGGTGCAATCAAATAGTACTGCAGACTTCTGCGAACAAATGTTGAAGAGTGTGGATCTGGCGATCCCTGGATAATATGTTGCGACTGATGCTCTACCTGCTGTACAACCCGTGACGGCTGGATTGCAAACAGTTTGTGTGGGAACTCTGGGGAACCTGTAACTATATCCTTGAAGCGGCTGTGGCTCAATGAGGCGTTCACTTCAAAAGCGACGGATATATCTGATATCATGGTGAAGCGGAAGTGCTTGTGTCAACATGACGTCCAAAAATATGGATTCGACCAGCCACTTTGGCAAGGTATTGAAACAGCCAAGTGGGCATCAATAGCAACAACGAGAAGGACACATTCGCCAAGGAGTTTAAGGACTTGTATCGTTCATGTTTCTGGCGCAAGGTCTGTGACCCACTCCACGGCGGCACTGGAGATAAAATTGGCACATCGACTTCTCTGATCCGTGTGATGTAAGCGATTCGCCGTCCGTCCGTCCGTTCGTCTGCCCCTATCCTCGTCCTGCCACCGGCAGTGTGGGGGGGAAGGTAGTAGGGGGCGAGTCCCGCCACCGCCATGAGAAGTGATCGAGAAACAAAGTTGTATCGCACTCCTCTGACATGCTTCTCCTCAACGCGGCAGGATCTGCCTCGAAATCATGGCCAAGACGCGTCCTAGACCCCAGACTAAGTCCGGGAGGCGATTTTGAAGGAGATGAGTGAGGATCGAGATGAGGAGGCGATTTATTTGTGGGAGCGGGGAGTATCGAGATGAGGAGAGGAGGAGGGAATCGATTTCTTGAGGGGTAGCCGATGAAGGGGGATCGGGATTCGACTATCGAGGGCTTTGCACGCGTATGGAACCTCTGTTGGGCCTCCGGGCCCCCGTAGACCCAGCGGGAGGGGAAGAATGGAATGGAGAGAGGAACAAGGGGGAAAGAGGAGTTGGAGGGGGGCGAGGCGGTGCGGGGGGAGGAGGATGATGAGGAGAGGGGGAGAGGAGATGGAGGAGAATGCGGGGAGGAGGGGGGAGGGGAGGAAGGGAAGCGGGGATAGACAAGCGTCCCACTACTCGCCAAATAACTACTCTCGCAAATGGCCTGGATCCGCCGCAAAGGATCTACGATCTATTACGCCGAGGCGAACATGTGCTTTTCGGACGTTTGCGAGTAGGCGCTTTGCGATCTATTACGCCGAGGCGAAACTGTGTTTTTCGGACGTTTGCAAGTAGGCGTTTTGCGAGTAGTGGAACGCGCTCGGTGAGAGGAGTGGGGGAGAGGTGATGACGAAGAGGAGAATGAGACAGAGGATCGAGGGGGAAAGTGAGGATGACAATGATGTGGGAGGGCGTGCAGGGGGGGACAAAGAGGGCTGGAGAGGGTGAGGGAGGAGGGAGGAGGGTGAGGAGGAGGATGTAAGAGGGTGTGGAGGATGAGGATGGTGAAAGAGGACTGAAGAGGATGGGGGAGGAGCTCCTCCCCGTCCTGCTCCGCCGCATCGTCGCGCAGGAAGCGCCCCAGCTCCTCGTTGGCCGCGCACAGCAGCCCGCCGAGGGGCTGCGCACGGGTGCGGCCGCCGCGGCCGCCGTCCGGTGGCCGCCGCCGCTGGTCGCCGTCGCTGCCGCCGCCGCTGCCGCCGGCGTCTTCGTGCGCGACGCGCGGCTGCGTGTGCGCCCTCGCGCCGCCCCCCTGGAGAGTGGCAGCCGCTCCCGCCCGGGCCGCGACGCGCGAGGCGCGACCGGCCTCGCGCTGCCTCCCCCCAAAACTCGGGGAGGCCTTGGGCAGTTCTGGAGGCTCTCGTCGCCGCGGCTGGTCGGCAGCGTCCAGGAGGCACGATGCGGAGGAGGGGCCAGAGGCATGTGCGCGGACGAGGGGGGCGGGGCCAAGGAACGCATTGAGAACAGATGCGGTGGCCATGGGATCCGGGAGTCATCATTGCCCCGGCCATGACCCGCCGCCCCTATTGGCATCTCATCCCCCTCTTGGCCGCCCCTGGGCTGGGCACAGCTCGAGAGACCTGGCCTGAGGGAAACGGATCCTGAGGGGAACGGGTCCTGGACCCCAGGACCAACCCTTCATCCCGAGTCGTTTGCTGACAGACCCGCGGCCCGTGGAGGGCCCCGCGAGCTCGAAGACGGAGAGACACCCCGGGACCCAGTCCCCCTCAGAAGCCGACGCGAAAAACCGCAGCACCGTGAAACATCGCGACCAACGCCCTGGACCCTCTCCACCTGCGAGGCCCCGAATCGGGGGGCGGAAAGATACGGACACGTGCTGTCCCCGGACCTCTCTCTTGGGGTGCGTTCTGAACAGAATTTCGAGGCGAACCCAGCGGTGACAACGAGGATCCCCCAGGAGGGCCAGGAAGAGCCGAAAACGAAGGGGGACGACACGTATCCGTATCTTTTTCTCCCCCGACCGAAGCCCGAGACCTCGCGGACGCGCCGCGCCCAGCCAGCATCCGAACGCCAAGACCTCAGGGCTGGGCACGGCTCGAGCGGCTGGCCGGGGTGGGCCCGCCGCCAGGCCGCCAAGCGCCGGAGGGGCGCAGCCCTTGGGCCTCGCGGCGGGGCCGCCCTGGCGAGGCCCACCGCCCCGTGCGCTGGGGCGCAGATAGATGAGGGGGCGAGGCACGAGGGGGGGGAGGAGGGAAGGAGGTTTTCGTGGGACCCTAGAGGCCCCCTGTTTGGGCCCGAAAGGGCCCCGTTCCCTCTTTCTGCAAGCCTCGTTGCCCATCTACTTCTTGATTGCCACTTCACTATGGTAGGTTCGTGTCGTGCCGACGTCGGCGTTGGCTTCTGGCACCGCAAGTATTGTTCAACCTGGAACGATCGGCCGTTTCCGCAACGTCCGAGCGTTCAACTTCGCCCGATGCTGGGTCGTCCGCGGCGTGCAACGTTGAACGCCGGCGGCGGGGTCGCCACTGGTCGACACGACGCGAACTCACCGTACGCGTCCTCCGATGCGCACTGACTCATCGACTCCCGGGGGCCTTCTGATCCTTGAGCCGCTCCCGCTTCACCCGCAGCTCCTCGGCGGCGCGGCGCGGCGCGGCGGGGCAAGGCGACGGCGACACCAGCGGCCACGCCGACAATGACGCCGACGACCACGACGACGACCACCACCGCCAATACCACGCCGACGACGAAGACGGCGGCGGCCACCACGACGACGACGAGGGCGACGACGACGACCATCTCAAGCCCATGCGATCCCCAAAGCAAATACGACCTTCATTTGGTCGTCCACCTCCCGTATGCCCGCCCGCTGAGTCTCTGAACCGCCCCCCTTTCGGCAGGAGCACTCAGCAGTGCACGCTGCATGCACACCGCGCCGCCATGGCCGTTATGCGAGCTAACGCGCCCGCGGCAAACTCACCATACTCACCATCTTCATCGAGAGATTCTCGGGCAAGAGCGCCGTTCCTGAATTCCAGGGCCTCTCTGGCTAGGGCGTCTTGGAATAAACTTCGAGGAAATGTCAAGCGGGGGCTGTTGTCGTCCTTCAGAGTCTCGGATTCGGACCCAAGCCCTCGCTCGAGCGGGAGCGCCGCTTTCACAGCAAATGCAGCTGGCGTCGAGGCGACAGCGCCTGGAACGGTTTCCAGAGATCGGCAAGAAATGCTACACCTTATGGACAGAACTGCTTAAACATTGACGTCGCCACCCCCCTGGCTGACCCCAGCCAGCCCTTCTAAGCTCTAAGCAGCGCAAGGCGTACTGGAAACGACTCGGCACGCTCGGACTGAGTGTAAAACAGGGCTAGGATCGGGATAAATCGCTCCAGAGCGTTCCGGAGCGCTCTCAGAGCGTTCCGGAACGCTCTGGAGCGGCCGCGGCGCCCAATGCATCCTCCAAACCCGCCGATTCTCAGAGATTTCGAGTTATCCCGATCCGATTTTGTCCCGATCTTCGCGTCGTTTTAGTATCAGCGTTGGCAGCGTGATGACCATCGCGTACGACCGGGCACCTATGGAGCGAGCCTTTTCGCAGCAGAAGGAAGCCGGCACGCTCGGAACACAAGTGCTGCCGACAACGTCGACCATGCGGTGTGCAATGCGCACAGAAGGTCACGGTTGAAGTGCATTCCCTTGCATCAGCGCTGGCAGCGCGATGATCATCAAGTGCGAGCGGGCGCGCCTGGAAGGAACTGATCGGCAACATCGTTTTGAGCAGGGACCGACCGTCCCGGCATGCCTATAGGCCTACCACGACATGTTCTTAGAACCACAAAAACGTTCTTAGAACGTTTTTTAAAAACCAACACCCGATGTGGGAAAACGGAACCGCCTCAGCCAGAAATGGTCAAAAAGCATTTCGAATGGACTCCACAAGGTTCTTGCGTAAAACGTTCTTCGGTAGGCCTACAGGCGAGCCAAAACGCTTCGCCACTGCTTGAATCGTTGACAGAATTCCTGGCAATGCGAGATGCACTATAAGCAAGCCCGCACGCTCAGAAAAAGCGTCTGCCGACAGCGCTGGCCATGCGACGTGTGGTACCCGCGAACTGGCATGATTGGAGTGCGCTCCCCTCCTCCCCCCTCCCTCCCTCCCCCTCCTCCTCCTCCTCCTCCTCCTCCTCCCTCCCTCCCTCCCTCCCTCCCTCCCTCCCTCCCTCCCTCCCTCCCTCCCTCCCTCCCTCCCTCCCTCCTCTCTCCTCCCTCAGACGCTCCTGGAAGACGACGAAGCCTGCAGCCGACTGCATCCCGCGGCGACGAGGATCGCGCAGGCAAGGCTGCCCGCATCCGTGGTCGAGTCCGTACTTTTGGACCCGCTCCTGGCCCTGACCAGACCGAACGGCCGGGGGCGAGGAACTGTCGCAGGAGACATGCTGAGGAGGCTGGTGGGCCGCAGCATTGCCCAGAAGATCAGCGCGGAGGCTGAGGAGGCCACGGCGCCTTACCAGTGCGCCTTCTCCTCAAGAGCAGGGACCGAGCGCGGTGCCCACATTATCAAGTTCGGGCGTTGGCAGAACTGGGTTTAGTGGAACCTGGGTTAATGATTTGTACCGGGGGCGCCCCCCCGTCCCATCTCCGCTAACCGGAACTGCCGTCACCCGAAAAACACCAGCTACGGCAAACCTGGTTTAGTAAATCTGGCCAATTGATGGGCCCCAGGGCCCTACCACTAACCGGGTCCCCTTACCTGGGGTCCTGGCTATACCCGACAGGTGCGAGCAATCACCTTATCGGCCAAATCTGTGGCAGAAATGGCAGCCATACGGAATACACCATACGCAAACGGGCACGCTCGGAAAAGACCTCCTGCCAACAGGACCAGTGATGCGATGCGCGGCAGGTCCCCGACGAGGACGCTTAGAGGACGACGACGACGAGGACGACAACGAAGACGACGACGAGGACGACGACGAGGACGACGAGGGCGACGACGAGGACGACGACGAAGACGACTGCCATGGAGGTCCCCGGACATCCAGAACACGCCCAAACAGCAAGGTCGGAGCGAATTTCTGGCCAACCAGCGCTGGTATCTCTAGCCGGCACCCATGGCGTGCGCGTCCCTGCAGCAACGCTGTCAGCGCGGAGCGCAATGGAAACAAGCCGCCACGTTCGCGACCGTGCCCTCGGGCACGCGTTGGAGTGTCTCCAGGTGCCTTGCTCAATCCCCCGAGCCGCAGTCCTCACTCCTGAGGATTCTTTACGGGGCCTGGACCCATAGCTCTTAAATCTCTTGGGGCTCTGGGTGCATTGTCGAATGTTTTCTCGGGCTCAAGGGGACCCCGAAACGGGCCAAGATCGCTCCAAGAGTCCCCCAAGATGGTCCAAGAGGGCCCCAGATCGCCGAACGCTCGGTCCAAAACGCCCCAAGTGGCCTCCAGTCAGCCGAAAACGTGCCCAAGACACCCCAAGAGAGGCCCAACAGGCCTCCCGAGAGAGCCCCGCAGAGGCAGAAATCTAGAAATTCGCTCCAGGAAAGCCTTGCGTCATGAACATCTACGACCTTTCCGCATCACAACCTTCAAGACGGCCCAAAGAGGCCCCCCAAATTGTTCCAAGATGGCCCCACAGGCCCCCAAGAGGGCCCCAAGACGGCCCCCAAAGCGCCCCAGACGACACAAGAGTACACAAAGACGACCCCAAGTGGGGCCCAGGAGGGAAGCCCGAACCAACAATCCGAGCGTTCCGCCCCAAGATGCACCCAGGAGGCCCCAAGAGTACCCAACTAAGAAGCAAACAAGAGGCCCCTTAGACGCCCCAAGAGGCCCCCAAACGGCCCCCAAGGGGCTTCAAAACTGCCTCCGAGGGGCCCCCGAGAGGCCTTCCACGACATCCCAACGAACATCAAAGAGGCCTGTGACCCACAACAAAGGCACGGTGGCGAGATTGGCCGAAAAGCATAAGACAAGACATGGAGCAAGCAATGAATCCCCAACTCATTGATTGGTGAGCTTTCGTGAAACCTGCGCTTCAGGATCTGACCCAGCAGCTGAGGCGTCGTCGATAAAAAGCGCACCACTAAACGGCTTCGCACAAGCCCTCCTATCCCCGCTGACGGACAGAGAGTGAGGAAGGGAAGAAAACGAGAAGGATGATGAGGGAAAACACAACATGAGGACGACAAGAAAAGAAGGCTACCGGAGGAGAACAACAAAGAAGAAGAAGACAGTGCCTAGGACTTCGAGGAGAATCAGGACAGATGTTCGATACGATCGATTCCAATGGGAAAAGTTCGTATGCATTTCACGAATGTACAAGCTTTCCTTGCAACGATAAGCCCAGCCACCCCCCCAGCCAACCCCCCATAACCCTGACAACCCCCCTGGCCAAGCCCCAACAACAACCCTGTCAACCCTGCGCGCCATTAGATCTAAAATGTTACACGACGGCCACGACGGCCTAGATCTGAACCTCAGCTGGAGGCGAAGCGGGGAGGGGAGAAGGGGGGCAGACAAGGCTTCAACAGCTCACTATCTGTCTCTCAGTCTGTCTCTCTGACACTCTCTTTCTCTCTCTCAATCCCTCTCTCTCTCTCTCCCTCACTCTGTACCTTCAATATCTGTACATGTATAGCACTCAGCATATATGTACACATTTACGCATGTGTAAAAATGAATATAAATGATACCAGAGAAAAACCCAATGAGAATTTGGGGGGGGGCTATGAGGCTTTAGGGCTTTAGGGCTATGGGGCTATAGGGCTATAGGGCGATGTGGCCATAGGGATATAGGTCTAGAAGCCTTTAGGGCTATGGGGCTATAGGGCTACAGGGCTATAGGGCTATAGGGCTAAGGGCTTTAAGGCCATTCGGGCTATAGTGCTATAGGGCTATATACGGCTATAGGGATTTAGGACCATAGGGCTATTGGGCTATAGGGCTATAGGGCTATGGGGCTATGGGGCTATGGGGCTATTGGGCTATTGGGCTATTGGGCTATAGGGCTATCGGAGGTGAGAGGGTGAGATCGAAGTGGAACGGCGAGCCCCCCACCGGGAAATCGGTTTCGGTTTCGTGTTCGTGCGTGCCGTGCGTGCGAGGCGAAGCTGCGTGGGCGGGCGAGAAAAAGTCTCCTGTGGCTGAGGCGCGGCCGGACCAAATGTTTCTCTTCCGGGGCGCGGGGCCCCGCGGTGTCCCGCCGGTGTCCCGCGGTGTCCTCCTGTGGCTGAGGCGCGGCCGGACCAAATGTTTCTCATCCGGGGCGCGGGGCCCCGCGGTGTCCCGCCGGTGTCCCGCGGTGTCCCGCGGTGTCCCGCGGTGTCCCGCGGTGTCCCGCCGGTGTCCCGCGGTGTCCCGCGAGGATGATGATGATGATGATGATGAGATGATGGTGATGATGATGATGATGATGATGATGATGATGATGATGAGATGATGATGATGATGATGGTGTCCCGATGAAGATGATGATGATGTTGATGATGGTGTCGATGATGATGATAGTGTCCCGATGATGAGGATGATGATGCTCATGATGATTATGTTGATGATGATGACGATGTTGGTGTCCCGATGATGATGATGATGATGATGATGATGAGGAGGATGATGATGATAATGATGATTCCGATGATGTTGTTGATGATGATGATGTTGATGGAAATGGTGTCCCGGCGATAATGATGTTGATGATATTGATGATGATTATGGTGTCCCGATGATGATGCTGATGATGATGATGGTGATGATGATGATGGTGATGCTGATGGTGTCCCGATGATGACAATAATGAGAATGTCGATGTTGATGATGATTTTTGATCATGATGATGACGGTGCCCCAATGATGATGATGTTGTTGATGATGATGATGTCGATGATGATGATGATGCGATGATCATGATGATGATGGTGTCCCGAGGATGATGATGATGTAGATGATAATGTTGATGATGTGAACGATGGTGATCATGATGGTATCCCGATTATGATGATGATTATGATGATGCTGCTGATGATGATGACGATGACTGTGTCCCGATGATGATGATGTTGATGATGAGATGATGATGGTGATGATGATGATGTTGTCCCGATGATGATGCTGACGTTGATGATGATGATGTTTATGATGATGATGACGGTGCCCTCATGATGATGACTATGTTGGTGATGATATTGTTGTTGATGATGTTGATGATGATGCTGATGATGATGATGATGATGATGATGATGATGATGACGTTGATTGTGAGAGCGATTGTGATATCGATAGTGAGATCGATATTGAGACCGAATGTGAGATCGATTGTGTGGTCGATTGTGAGATCGATTGTGAGATCGATTGTGAGATCGATCGAATGAGATAGATCGAGTGAGATCGATTGTGAGATCGATCGAGTGAGATCGATAGTGAGATCGATACTGAGATCGATAGTGAGACCGATCGAGTGAGACGTTGGTTCCCCCCCCCGAACCTCCTTATCACCCGAAGGGTGGTCGTACAGGTACGGCTATAGCGCTATAGTGTTATAGTGCTATAGGGATATATGGCGATTGGGCTATTGGGCTATAGGGATACAGGGCCCTGGGCTAGGCACCCCCGGGCACTTCTGGGCACCCCGGGCACCCCTGGGCACCCGGGCACCCCCGGGCACCCCCGGGCACCCGGGCACCCGGCCCCGGCCATCGAAATCGGCCGCCCACCTCACCTCAGCTGTATATCCGCTAGGACTCCTACAGAGGCAAGCTCTGATTGGGGAATAACATGACCTTGCTCTCTGCCTCCCTCCCTCCCCTCCTCCCTCCCCACCTCCTCCTCCTTCCCCTCCTCCCTCCACCTTTCTCCTCCCCCTCCTCCTCCTCCCTCCGCCGGTCTCCCTCGCGGGATCGAGCCCCGCGCGGGCCCCGAGGTCCTCGTCCTCGGCGGCCGCGCGCAGGGCGCTCTGCGACGCGAGGAGGCCCCGCTGGTCCGCCGCCCGCCGCAGCAGCTCGTCGGCGGAGTCCTGCCGCCTCGGAGCGGATCCTCGTTTATGTGCGCCTCCTCATCTGCCTCCCCATCATCCTCATCAGCAGCAACAGCAGGATCGGCATCAGCATCATAATCAGCATCAGCATCCGCGTCAGCGTCAGCACCGCCACCGCCATCGACGGCAACATCGGCAGCAGCAGCATGAGCATCATCATCCTCGTCTTCGTCCTCATCGGCATCATCCTCAGCATCATCATGAAAATCAGCATCGTCATCATCACCATCATCATCCTCACCGTCACCGTCATCGTCAGAGCCAATATCACGATCAGTATGACCACACCATGATCGTCACCACGATCCGCATCCACACCACCACCGCCTTCACCACCGTTGTCGTCATCACCACCACCCTCACGGTCATGATCATCCTGCTCACCATCCTCTCCCTCGCCACCATCATCACCATCGTCCCTCTCATCTGCTGGTCGCGCCTCCTCCCGCCTCTTGCCTCTGCCTCGCGTGCCCGCAGGGCGGACGAGGGCGTTCCGCCCGAGACCCCCTCCCGACTCCCAGCGCCGAAGCTTGCGGTGCCCGACAGCGGCACGGAGCCGGGGCGGCTCGCTGTGAAGACTCGGCCCTCGCCGCCCGCAGCGCCGCGCTCGCTCGTCCTGAGGCGCCCGACACCTCCACGGCTGGAGGGCGGCTGCTCTTCAGAATGCGGCCCTTGCCTCTTGCCCCGGGTCAGCGCACACCTGTCTTATCATTCCCATCGGCCACACAGCTGGGAGCGGGTCCATATCAAAACGTTGCTCTCGCCTAAGCGCCGAGCACGTTCGTCTCAATTACCCTGGCGACGTACCCAACCCCTGCGCAAACGCGGGGCGTAAATAGTTTAGGCCACTTTATAAAGGGGGCGATGACGGAGCGAGGGTTACATATGTCTGCAGACGGAATTCGGGAGACTTGCAGGACGCTGGCTACAGGACAAGGACTAGATAAAGCTGATTAGTTACAATCCCTGTGCAACCCTAGCCACTTCGAAAGCGGGAATCTCATATCGCATCCCCCCAGGGATGGCGAGGTCTAATTTGGGTCCGAGCGTGGCGTCACTGTGCTGGGCCCCCCAGCATGCCTCGAAAGTGGCGACAGTTTCACAGATCGCAGCCCCCCACGGATGGCGAGGTCTAATTTGGGTCCGCGCGTGGCGTCACTGTGCTGGGCCCCCCAGCAGGCCTCGAAAGTGGCGACAGTTTCACAGATCGCAGCCCCCCAAAGGATGGCGAGGTCTAATTTGGGTCTGCGCGTCGCCTCACTGTGCTGGGCCCCCCAGCAGGCCTCGAAAGTGGCGACAGTTTCACAGATCGCAGCCCCCCAGGGATGGCGAGGTCAAATTTGGGTCCGCCCGTCGCCCTCACTGTGCAGGGCCCCCCAGCAGGCCTCGAAAGTGGCGACAGTTTCACAGATCGCAGCCCCCCAGGGATGGCGAGGTCTAATTTGGGTCCGCCCGTCGCCCTCACTGTGCAGGGCCCCCCAGCAGGCCTCGAAAGTGGCGACAGTTTCACAGATCGCAGCCCCCCCAGAGATGGCGAGGTCTAATTTGAATCCGCGCGTGGCCCTCACTGTTGTGGGCCCCCCAGCAGGCCTCGAACATGGCGGCAGTTTCACAGATCGCAGCCGCCCAGGGATGGCGAGGTCTAATTTGAATCCGCGCGTCGCCCTCACTGTGCTGGGCCCCCAGCAGGCCTCGAAAATGGCGACAGTTTCACAGATCGCAGCCCCCCGGATGGCGAGGTCCGAGTGCTGGGCCCCGACAGTTTCAGATCGCAGCCCCCCAGGGATGGCGAGGTCTAATTTGAATCTGCGCGTCGCCCTCACTGTGCTGGGCCCCCCAGCAGGCCTCGAAATGGCGACAGTTTCACAGATCGCAGCCCCCCAGGGATGGCGAGGTCTAATTTGAATCTGCGCGTCGCCCTCACTGTGCTGGGCCCCCCAGCAGGCCTCGAAAATGGCGACAGTTTCACAGATCGCAGCCCCCCAGGGATGGCGAGGTCTAATTTGAATCTGCGCGTCGCCCTCACTGTGCTGGGCCCCCCAGCAGGCCTCGAAAATGGCGACAGTTTCACAGATCGCAGCCCCCCAGGGATGGCGAGGTCTAATTTGAATCTGCGCGTCGCCCTCACTGTGCTGGGCCCCCCAGCAGGCCTCGAAAATGGCGACAGTTTCACAGATCGCAGCCCCCCAGGGATGGCGAGGTCTAATTTGAATCTGCGCGTCGCCCTCACTGTGCTGAGCCCCCCAGCAGGCCTCGAAAATGGCGACAGTTTCACAGATCGCAGCCCCCCAGGGATGGCGAGGTCTAATTTGAATCTGCGCGTCGCCCTCACTGTGCTGGGCCCCCCAGCAGGCCTCGAAAATGGCGGCAGTTTCACAGATCGCAGCCCCCCAGGGATGGCGAGGTCTAATTTGAATATGCGCGTCGCCCTCACTGTGCTGGACCCCCCAGCATGCCTCGAAAATGGCGACAGTTTCACAGATCGCAGCCCCCCGCAGGCAAGACAGGAAGAGGCAGGGAGGGAGGAGGAGGAGGAGGAAGGAAGGAGTGGAGACCACACTGCTCTATTCAAAACGAATACCCAACCAAGGAGGGTTGGGAAAAACTTCATGAGTTACACGGATGGGAGGGGGTTCCTTTTTACAATGTGGCTCATGATCGACTCGAAAGCTTCCAGCGGCTACACATACGGAGGGTGGTTCCTTTCAACATGTGACTACCATCTCTTGAGGGCCGCGCATACGCGTCCCCAAAACTTCCAACACTTACGCACATATGGAAAGCGGTTCCCGTTCTGAGTGCGGCGCTGGCCTAAGCGCCGCACATGCTCGCCGCACATGCTCGAATGTAAGGCGGCTCACTTCTGAAAATGGCAACACGCTTCGTGCCCGACACATCAGCATTCGACTCAAACTATTCGAACCACAGCACGAACCGAGGCTGGCTCCTTTTCAAACCAAAGCTGCCGCTTGCTACTTCCATGCTCCATACATACGGCCTGACATCTCCAGCTGCGCAACAGCTACACCGACGGTGCGCGAATGTGCTCAACACGGGGCTCTCGCTTGAGACCTCCTCCGCGCTAGCGATCCAGACCGTCAAACTCGAGAGCATTGGCACGGATTGGAGGACAGCTCTTCTTCAAGGCGGCGTTATATCCCTGGACACTTCCTTGGACTCCATGTTCCTGCCTCGCCGCCGTGCTTGCAGCTCTAGCAATGAGATCACGGAGGCCAGTTCCTCGTCGAAGAGAAGATATCGCCTGACTTGCAAAACCATGGGGGCGCTCGTCTTTCAAGGTGTGTGTGGGGGGAACCTTCCGCAGTGGAACTGGAACTCCTCTCCCGTACGGGCTTTGCGAGGAGGCTGCCCGCAACAGGCGGGCTTGCTCCAGTCACTCTTCTTCCTCGTGCTCCGCCTTTTTGACGTTGCGCGGACTCAGATCAGACGATGGTCGCAACATCTGTCCGCCTCCTTCTTCCCCGTCTGTCACTTCCTTCTTCTCCTCCCCCCTCCCACCCCTCCACGTCCTCCTCCTCCCCTCTCCCCTCTCCCCCCTCCTCCCTCCCCCTGCCACCCTGCCGCAAGACAGGCGGGAAGAGAGGCTTCGGGCCGCGCGGCACTCGCCACGCGCGAGGATGGAGCCCAACCCCGAAGCGCTGGAGCAGAGATCCTCCAGCTGCCCCCGTGCTCCAGCCACGCTCCGAGTCTCTCTCGCTGGTTCCATCCTGAGCTCCGACGTTTCAGCAAAATCGCAGCATCGCGAACAGATCATGACTGGAGCCCTGGACCCCACCCTTCTGCTGCACCTGCCGGGCCTCGTCGATATGTGAGGGCCTCGGAGCCTGCCCCTTAGCAGAAGAGAGCCTCACACGTATATAGGCGAGGCGCCCTCCAAGAAGCAGGGGTGCATCTGAAAAACCTGCAGCCCTCAGGAGGCAGAGGAGGGCCGCGCAGTGCCCATACGCACCCGCCTGCCCCCTGCACGGATTGCCCCCCGCATGCCGACGACGACGACGACGACGACGACGACGACGACGACGACGACGACGACGACGACGACGACGACGACGACACGACTCCCCTGCCAGCCGCCGCGCCTGGCGGCCGCCGCGCCCGCCTGCTCCGCGCGCTCCCGCCGCCTCGCGCGCACAGCCCCGGCAGCCTCTCCGCAGGGCGGCGGGCGGGCGGCCGTCGCTCCGCCGGCGCGGGTCGCCGCCGCCCGCCCGCGGCCCCCGCCCGCCGCCGGCCCGCCGCTGCCGCCCGCCCGCCGCTGCCGCCCGCCCGCCGCTGCCGCTGCCCCCTCGGGTCGAGGTCGAGGCTCGACGACGACGACGACGTCCACCCCGCTCTTCATGTTCCTCCTCCTCCTCCTCCTCCTCCTCCTCCTAGTCCTCCTCCTCCTCCTCCTCCTCCTCCTCCTCGTCCTCGTCCTCCTCGTCCTCGTCCTCGTCCTCCTCCTCCTCATCCTCCTCCTCGTACTCGTCGTCCTCCTCCTCCTCCTCCTCCTCCTCCTCCTCCTCCTCGTCCTTGTTCTTCTCCTCCTCCTCCTCCTCCTCCTCCTCCTCGTGCTCGATGTCCTTCTCCGCGACCTCCTCCACGTGCGCCTCCTCGGCCCTGGCCAGGCTGCAGGCCTCCGCCTTGGTGTGGCTCCGGCGCGCGGCGGCGACCCGAGCGGCCGCGGCGGCCGCCTCGGCGAGACGCTCCGGTGTCAGGGTAGGCCACGCCCGGCGGCGCTGTCCGGTTTAAGAGAAGAAACCAACGCCACAAACACGAATTTTTGGCGCGCCGCGCGAATTTCTTGGATCTGCGCTGGGCCACCCCTCCCTGGCGCGCGGAGCGCGCCAGGGGCGGCGCTGGAGGCGCCGCCGTGGGGACCCAAGCGCGGGTCCAAGAAGTCCGCGCACCGCGCCGAAAGTGTATCTCTACGGCGTTTTGTTCTTCTTCGATGGATGGTACTCCAGATTTCGTAATAAAAGGGAGGGGGTCTCAACCCTCCAAGACAGGCCATTTCAGACCCCCCCCCGTGGGAGAACCCTCCCAAACATCGTCCCCAGACCCCCCCAGGCCCTCCAAGATAGCCTGGAAGAGACCCCCCCCGAAAAAAGTTCCCTCCCTTTACTACGAAATCTGGAGTAGCTCGAGCCGCCGGGGCGGCGCCCTCGGGTCGGTCCCCGTGGCGGGGCGGCCTGGCGGGGGGGCAGACGACCTCGATCTTGGACGCGACGAGCTCGGGCGCCTCCGGGTCGAGCTGCGGGTTCCAGTCGTTGCTGGTGCTCCTCCTCCTCCTCCTCCTCCTCCTCCTCCTCCTCCTCCTCTCCTCCTCCTGCTCCTCCTCCTGCTCCTCCTCCTCCTCCTCCTGCCCTCCTCCTCCTCCTCCTCCTCCTCCTCCTCCTCCTCCTCCTCCTCTCCTCCTCCTCCTCCTCCTCCTCTCCTCCTCCTCCTCCTCCTCCTCCTCCTCCTCCTCCTCCTCCTCCCCCTCCAACTTCTGGTGTTGGTGGTGGTGGTGTAAAACGGGCCCATCAGATCAGCCTGACCCTGATCTGATCGTGGGCGCTAGTATTGATGTGTGGGTCGCCACGCTCGTTGATGCTGATCCCGAGCTTCGCCTTGCTAGTATCACGGCGCTTTCTGTTGGAGCCTGCCGCGCATGGCAACGTCACGTTCTCGAGGTCGTCTCCACTCTCGGGCTGCGTAGCCCAGTCGTAATATCGAAGCATGGGCACCAAAGTGAGGACTGTGACGTTGTCGTTTTTGATGGCGGTGGCGTCGACTCGTACGGCCTCGTGAGCGCCATGGCGCCGGCGCCGCGCCTGGGCGTCGCTGTGGGTGGGAAAGGGCGGACGTGCCCCAACCTCTCGGGCGCAGACGCGATCCTCCTCCTCCTCCTCCTCCTCCTCCTCCTCCTGCTCCGCCTGCTCCTCCTCATCTTCTTCTTCCTCCTCCTCCTCCTCCTATTCCTCTCCTCCTCCTCCTCCTCCTCCTATTCCTCCTCCTCCTCCTCCTCCTCCTTCTCCTCCTCCTCCTCCTCCTCCTCCTCCTCCTCCTCCTCCTCCCCCTCCTTCTCTTCCTCCTCCTCCTCCGCCTCCTCCTCCTCCTCCTCCTCCTATCCCTCCTGTTCCTTCTCGTCGTCCTCCTCCTCCTCCTCCTCCCGCTTTGCTCCCTTCACCCCCTCGCCCCCAAGCGGCATGGGGTGAACGCCTCGGCGCCGTCCTCCCGGCGCGCGGCGGCCCGGCTCTGGGCCGCGGTCAGCCTCTCCAGGCACGCCCTGGGCGGCGGGCGACCGCGCGCTGGCTGGGCGGAGGACCCCCAAAACTTGGGGTGCACTGAGGGACCTGCTGCAGATCCGCCGATCCGGCGTGTGATTTCAAAGGGCCGTCGGAACAGCCTGAACCTCAACTCCTGAGATTCAGCTCTGCTGGGGGGGGGCGTGCCGGGGCGGCTCTTCCAGGGTAAGGGGGGCTCGATTTAGTTCCCGGGGCGGGATCGGAGCCCAAGCTCGCTCCGGGACGGCCCCCTCGCCCAGGAGGGCCCCAACATGGGCCAAGAGGGCCCCGAATCGCCGAGCGATCGCTACGAGACGCCCAAGATGCCCCTAAGACGGCTCCCACAACCTCCAAGATGCCTTCAGAAGCCCGGAGAAAACCCCAGAAACACCAAAAAAGCAACAAACGTTTCACTTCCTAGGAAAAGCGCTGCATTTTAGGATATTCGCCTCTTTGGCCTGCAAAGCGTCGCAGACGCCCCAAGAGAACCCCAAAACAGCCCAAGAAACCGCCGAGAGGCCTCCAACACGGCCCAAAAAGGGCCCAACATGGCCCAGGAGGCTCCAGGAAAGGCCAAGAGGGCCCCAGGACGGGCCCAAGAGGCGCCTGAGAGGGCGCCAGAACGACAGAACAAGTGCCGAAGACGGCACAAGAATCTCCCAACAAGCCCCCAGGAGGCCTACAAGAGGCCTGGAGAAGCCCCAAGATGTTTCCACCTGGCCCCGAAGAGGCCCCCTGAAGCCCCTCAATTAAAAGGCCCCCGAAAAGTCCATCACATGCGTCCAATACGCTTTCTGCAAGCCTTTAGCCTGCCTCCAAAAACTCCCCCCCAAAAAACCCAAGACCGGCCCCAGTGCTTCCACAACGCTTACGTCTGAACACAAACGTTACGCCGCTACGCTTTCACAGCTTATCCCGTCTTCGGCGTCTTTCACACCCATGATCTCACGAAGCCCGCAGAAGACCGCGCGAAGGCCCCACGGACACCAAAAACACAGTGGCTCCCATCAGAGACCTGCGATGATATGCGGCGCAGGCGGCTCTAGCACAAAGCATTTCAGAGAGTGCGCCACATCGGCGAGGTGCCAACCCAAAAGGGGCCAACACCTGGCCCCAAGGAGGCTTTCCAACAACCGCCGAGCATCTCCAACAACCGCCGACAATCTCCTCATCCTCGTCATGCTCCTTCTTCTCCCCTTCTCCCCGCCTCCACTTCCCGTTTCCTCCTGCTCCTCCTCATCCTCACCATCCTGCTAAGTCCTGCCCCTCCCCCTTCCGCCCCCATCCACCTCATCATGAGCTCCTCCTCCTCCTAATCCTACCCCGTTGCCTCCATTCCCAATCCTCATCATCATCCTCACCGCTCGCCGTCGTCGCCGGTCATGACCGCCATCGCGCGCTTCCGGCAGCAACGGAAGTGTCCCGCATCGGCGGCACCGGCCAAAAGGCCACTACAACCAACAGTATGACGTAGACGGACCGACCCGTCCTCCGACCTCGTACTGCGTCGGACGCAGCGGCCGCGTTGTCTATCGACGCATCCCCCCGAACGTGTCGATCTGCGACACGACACCTGGTGTGTCTATAAACGCTTGTGGCTAGAATTTGCAAGCGGTATTGGGCATGGGCCCCACAGTTGGGTCTTCTAGAAGCAGGTACACTTGGCCCTCGGGGTGTCCCACTTGCGCTTCTAACTAAAGGATTGGATGGGTGTCCCGAAGACTCGCCACGTTCTGGTTTGTTCTTGGAGCGATATCGTCAGCACGTTAACAAGCCGCAACACATACACATTGTTCCCCCCATCGACCGCAAGCACTGCCGCGCATAAATTAAATCTAAAGTTTGCTAATACTGCTGACGTCGCACACGGATAAAAACATCGATAACAATGATGACTGCTCCTGTGGCGCTGAACTCGCAGCAAGGACTCTTCTTTCCTGAAGGAAGGCTGGGAACAGCCGATGAAAAAAACGACTCGCCTGTCTCGACTCGGTGCAATGGCTGGGCTGCGATGCTGACAGGCTGTCTGTTTGGACCGAAACTGTGGCTAGAAACGGCGAATTCGACAGCAGATTTAAACGCCCAACATGCACGCTTCGACGAATCGGGTGCGGCGCCCATGCTTCGACATTCGCGCGGACGACTTCGTCGGACAAGCAATCGTGCCATACATCAGCTGCCAAGCAATGTTTTCTGGTCCTCCCGCTCCCCCTCCCTCCTCCTCCTCCTCTACCCCCACCCCCATCCCCCTCCTCTCTTCTTCGCGTGGCTGGCGGCACGGTGGACTCATAGCACACCCATTCAAGCACACCTCGCAAGCTGTGTCGTCCCACCTGCGGCCGAATAGAAGAATTGAACCGCCTGTGCTGTATACTACAATTTTGTGTTTTACGACCAATACATGAGATGCCGTGTACACTACAAGTCTTACGTTATGTATGCCGTATTACATGCAGGGCAGGTGGCAAGGATGGCAAGTTACATGCAAGACGCACTATATGACACACTATATCAAATCAAATCATCTCCGCCACCGTGTTGCAAGCACGTGGCACATCGCCCGCAGATCTGACATAATGCTCAGTGTTAGCATTATTCCGCGCCTTCACCTATTGATTCTTCGTCTGTTTGCATACGGCCAACAAAAACGGACAACGGGCGCAACAGGTGCAGCAAGGGTCCGCGTAAGACTCGCCGCTCCGACCAGGGAACCACCAATCAATGAAAGTCGGAACCATGACAAAGAGAACGAGTGTCGCAGCTGCAGCCAGGATGGCTGCCACCCCTCCGGAATCAACGCTCACCCGGATACCAGGGTAAGTAATGCCAGCATTCATGATTCCTTAAATGGCCTGGTTGCCGTCTCGCCGCAGGTATGCACTGCCCAGAATTATGAAAAGCAGCACGGAGGCGAAGAAATTGCGCACGAAGCCAGCGAGAGCACCACATACTGCATTTTCACCGCTGCTCACTCCCTTCGCCTTCTGCTTCCTCTTGTCGCACCAATGCTATGGGCAAACAGTAGTCTACAACTTCCCGCTGAATCTGCGACGCGGTTAGCAGAAACAAAAAAGGAAACCAAAGCAACCTGCATCTTCATCACAACACAGCATCAACGTGCTGCATGGATCGCAGCAAACCATGTCGGTGAAGGGCCGTTTCGCCCCGCGCGAAGTCTGAACTGGTGGGTCCGACGCGCTCGGGCATCAGCCACGACCGCTTGTGTATCTTTAGCCAGAATGGCTTGAACCAAACTGGCAACGGAAACTCGCAGCAAGGACTCTTGAAAGCGTGCTGGAGCCTGCCTGGTAGCACTGAGAACGCTATGACAGGATGGCTCCAGAGGCCAGTGGGCCCCAAGTGCCAGGCTAACGCTTCAATGTGCTGGCTGCGTTATCGTCTCACCCGAAGGGGGGTGAGGGGAGGGGGTTCTTCATCGTTTCCCACGGTTACTGTTTTGGAATCGCACTGGCAAGCATTTGTTGTAATCCTCTGGTTCCCTTGAGGGGCCACCAGGCTGTAGGACGAAGGTTCGCAGTTTCCTGTGCCAGTTGCAGCTTCCAGTTTCCACTGTTACAGCTCTGCTTCTTGCTGCTTACTGTTCCTTGTTGACTTCTTGCTGCTTACGGTTCCTTGTTGATGGACAGCGCGAGGGGGAGAGGCCCAAAAAGGGCATTTTTACCACGCCCTAAGCGTGTTGTCTGAATTGCTGGGGTTGGTAAAAATTGGCACCCCTCACGCAGATCGGCGGGGTCCGGGTCCAAAAACACAAGAGATGTGCCACATTTCTGAAATTCGGCGGCACCCCTCACGCAGATCCGTAGGGTCAGGCCGTCGTGCTCCCGCCCCTCCTTTCACGCATGCAATAAAAGTGGCAACGAAACTCGGGCGGGTGGTAATGGGGGGGGGACCCAAATGGGGAGTGAAGAAGAGGACCCTAAAGGGCCCGTTTCGGGCCAGTTTTTTCACCCCCTATTTAAGTCACCCCCCATTTAGGTCACCCCCCCTATTTTCTCCACCCACCATGTAGGTCACCACCCATACAGTCAACCCGTATCATAAGGACGCACGATAAGGGTGCGAGGGCCTTGGAAGGCCATTTCGAAGCTTCTCGAGCGCGGCGCGGCCAACGAAAGTGGCCCTGGATGGACCGAGAAGGCAAGGATGCAAGGGTACCCTTGGGAAGGTTGCCCATCCGTACTATGCGGGTTGACTGTACTTCACAGATCGTCTTCATCCTCCTCGGCATCCCTCACTGCCTTTCTTTCGCACGAGAAGAGAAGATCCTGAGGGAAACGGGTCCTGGACCACGGGGTCTTCCCGAGGACCACAACCTTCTGGCCTCCCCAGGTCCCCGAAGGGCCCCGAAGGGCCAGAAGAAGCCGAGAGCACTCAGACGTTTTTTCCCTCGGGACCTCCTCTTCCGAGTGGAATCTCTGGAAAATCCCCCCACCGGACCTCTCCTGGGTCCTCGGGTACGCTCTTGACAGGATCTATGGGGGGAAATGCAGCCGTGGCGACCACGAGCTCCCCCGAGCCTCCAGACGGGCCACAAACTGCCAGACGCGGGAAGCATCAGGACATGCTACAGGCTCGGAAAAGTTTTCTCCCAACGCCGCCACGCGCGCTCATGCCGAATGACAGCCTGCTGTGGATGTCCACGCCAATGCCGCCCGTCACTTTGTAGCGCAGTCGTGCTATATGTGGGCCACAGTGGGTCTTCATCGCGCGCAATCCCATTCCTTGGGTTTTTCGCGAACACCATGACAGGTGTGAATTGTCAATTCGGTGTCGAAGAAAATGCGGCACATCTCAGTGTGTCTTGAAATGACTTGCCTTATGCCATATACCAGTTCGAATCGCCACCGCAAATTGTAAGGGCTGTTTTAACTGAAGGGAGCCGAAACCATGTCAAAACAGGGCCAAGCCAGGCAAACTGCGAGGACGTCTCTAACAGAACCGGGCCATGTGAGGACTTCTCAAGCGAAGCCGGGCCCAACATATGCCCAACCGGGGCCACACGAGGCAAATTTTGGGAACGTCGCACGCGAGACCGGGCCTGAGACCAGGCCAAAGCAGGGGCCAAACCAAGCCGATGCTGAGGATGTCTCAGGCGGGGTGCGCGGCCAACCCAGCCCAAACCAAGGGCCAAACCATGCAGATGCTGAGGACGTCCTTAGCAGAACTAGCCCCGCAGGCGGAAGCACGTTCTGAATTTCATAGAGGGTGGGGGGCTTATGGGCCGCGCGCCCGCTGATGCGGACGGGGTTGGGCGCGGAAACCTTCATTTGGCTTTCGGGTGTTGACGGGGCTCTGGTGCGCGTCAGGAAAATATGCACCCGAGCCTGAAATACGATGTGCCCCTGTTGGAAGCGCATGCCCAACCCGAGCATACACGTCGTTCATTTCTAATCGTGCTCATTTCCAATTGTGCTCGTCTCTAATTGTTCCTGGCCCCCTAATGGCCAGGAAGAGTCCCAAGATAGAACAATTGGAAATAAAAGGATCTTGGCCACCAAAAAAACAAAGAACACATTCGAAGAATTAGAAATGAACAATGTGTACCGCTACTCCCCGGACTTCTCCCAATGTGCGTTCTGTACAGAATTTCGAAGCGAATCCAGCGGTGGCCACGAGGGCCTCCCAGACAGGAGGCCCGGACAGGCGAAAACGGGGAGGGGTGGCCGTATGGGGGTACCTCTTCCCTCCTCTGAACAAACACCTCGACACTTCTGCACTCTCGACCCCTCACGCGCAACGCCTCCGCCTGAAAACAATTGGGGCCTGAGTGAATTAGGCGTCGCTTGATTGGGGGGGGCAATGAATCAGGGGGAAGACAGGGGACACTTTTCCGGCCCTAGAGGCCCCCTCTTAGGCCCTGGATGGCCCCTTCAGGGGCCCTGAAGGGCCCCTTTTCTGCAGCCCTCGTTGCCCCCCCCATCGATCGCCCCCCCCCAATTACGCGACGCCCCGCGGACGGCGAGCAGAAAACCTGTGAGCCGTGCCCCGCAGGACCAGCCTCGTGGCGAACGACGTGCAACATTGGTGGGGGACCAGCCGAGGGTGGGATCGGCTCGGGCGAAAGGGGGGGATAGCAAAGGGGGGGTCTGAGAATCAGCTCACGTAGCTGGCGCCCATGTATCGAGGAGTGGGCCTGGCGGCGAGGCCAAAACCAGCTACATGCGGCAGATTTCGTACCCCCCCCTTTGCCTATTTCTCCCTTTCGTTCGGCCCGATGGGAGCAGATGTGGATGCGGATGCAGCGATGCGGGGGTCTCCCGCGCCTGGGTCCCTGGAGGGCCGTCGGGCTCACTGAGACGCGCGCGTGACACGGGCACGAGCAGCAGCGACACGACGCGGCATGCTGATCGACCTCACTGGGCCGGGCACCTGGCGTCAAATTGATCTGACGTGGCGCCGAGGGCGGGAGCATGGACCCGGAATCGGCGGTGCATCGCAGATACATCGACGGTAGGCCCCCCGAGCCCTCTTCTGGCAGCCACGGAGCCCCCTGGAGGGCCCCGGGGAGGCCACAGACGGCGAGTAACACCTGGGAGCCGCGTGCCTCAAGAGCAGCCTCATGGCGAACGGGGGGCAACATTATCGTCGAAATCTATGGTAAGGATGGGCGGCAAGGCAAAGACGCACGGACCTTGGACGCCGAAATTTGGCACGTTTTGGGCGGCGGGCTGCCAACACCCGGAGGGGCTGGCCAGTGAAAATCGCGAGGGGCGGGCCGCAGAGGCAAGGACGCAAGGGTACCATAAGGACGCCCGTGCGTCTTTGCTATGCGTCTTGATGGCAATGGGGGACCAGCCGAGGGGGGAAGTACGGGACCTGGAATCGGCGATGCATCGCCGATAGATCGGTGATAGGTCCTCGGCGGCGAATCCGCACTGTCCTGGGCGGGGTAGGGCCATCGGGCCCCTGTCGGCGATCAGTGGGCTATCATATTTCCCTGGGCCTATCCTCTCCCTAACGTTGTCCCCCTGGTTTTCGAGCCCAAACTCGGCTCTCAGGCGGCCACCCGGGACAATTCTGGCACCCTCAAAATGATCTCGACGAGGCCCAACTGACGGAAACCACCGCGATCCTCGAAAACTGGTAGGAACAAATTCAGGAAACCGTCGAACCTCCACCCTCTGAGTAAGACCAGGCCAGGACAAAAACAAAATCGGACAAAGATGAATGAAGGATTTCTGAGACCCAGTGATTCTGAACAATTGTATCGGGCGCCGCGGCCCTCTCAGAGCATTCCGAAACGCTCTGGAGCGATCCTTTCTCATCCAAGGACTGCCTGACTGAGCTTACCCCACAACTCCTATAGTTTGCTTCGATTGTTCTCTGGGGTAGTTGTTTACGACTCCACCGCCAAATTCTGCAATGCGAGAGATAGACTGCCACTGGCGAGCAAAGTATATAAAATTACGCCAGCCCTGTGCCAAGTCTTGATAGCGCACCGGGGGCACTTGGTGGTTCACCACAGGCGCCGTCGCCCAAAAAGAGATCGCCAATGTCAGTCTGTCACATCCAGGGCATATTGAGGCGGCACCGTCGCCAGATATGACTCTGCGGCAGTAGGGAACTCGACAGTAACGCCCTGGCGACGGCACCCCTCCGTCTCGGCGGCGACGATAAGGGCGAATAGCCCATGGGCGAGCATTGCAGCATTGCACGCATTCGCCGAGGCTCGCCGAAGACATGGCTCATTGGCGCCCTTGGATAGATATATTTGAAGGGGCCCTGGGACACATAAGTAAGTAAGCACAAATCCAAATATTCCCAACCATCTCCAATGTGGCTTCCCGAAGGAAGGTTTTTTTTGGTTTCTGGATGTTTGTTTTCCCTTCCGATTTCCATATGTTCAAATGTTTCCTGGGAGCCGACGATTTTGTGTCTGTGGAACCGCAGAGGTTCTTTAGACCCCCCCCAATAAGTGCAATTAATTATTTGTTCGGTGCCCCACCAAACAAGGGGAACGAATTATTTGTTCCCCGCGGCGCCCGCCAGCATCGCTTTCATGGAACATCTCTTTTCAGACAAACAGCACTCAGAAACTGGATCCTGAAAACTCCATCCGGAGAAGGACTGTTGAAGCTCAGGCCCCGCGCGGGCCCTCAAACATAAATCCTCTGTCACGTGGACAGTTCAAAGCTATACCGCATCCGGTGTTGTCCACACGGGAAAAGTTGCTATGTTGGCCGCGCGCGCCGACCAGGCGCAAGCAAGAGGTCTGCCCGCAGTGCTGGGCAGACGACTTCGAGCAAACTCGCCAATGAAAACGAAGCAAATCCTATGGCAATCCTCATTAGCGAATGTGTAAAAATCTTTCCGTGTGCAGGGTAGCCCTCGATATATTATTCGACTGGATAAATCCACCCCCGTACATTACCCAGCCCGCCCAACAATAAACGGAAACTAAGCCCACGTCGCCGCGCGCGCCAACCCACCACTGCTACGCAGACGGCTTTGAACAAAAACTCGCGAATCATCAAAACGAAGAGATTCCTGTAGCAATCCTCATGAGAAGCAACTGCGATTGCAATCCTCGTAAGAAGATGCTCACAAATCCTCCCGCGTGCAGGGTAGCCCACAATAGATTATTCTGCTGGAGGCATAAACCCTAAATATTGCCCAGCACGCCCACCAACAAAGGGAAACGTATCCCATGCCGCCGCGCGCGCCGACAAGGCGCCAGCAGGAGTTCTGCCAGCAGTGCTAAGTAAACGTGTTTGAACAAAGCCGCCAATCACAACGAAGACATTCCCATTGCAATCGTCGTGAGAAGATGCTCACAGATCCTCCCGCGTGCAGGGCAGCCCACAACGGGTCATCCCGCTGGAAAAATCACCCCCGATTATTACCCAGCCCGCCCAGCAATAAAAGGGAACCTAGTCCCGTGTCGCCGCGCGAGCCGACCAGGTTCCCAGGTGGAGTCCGACCGACAGTGATAGACAAACGAATTCGAGACCACTCGCGATTCACAACGAAGCAACTCTTATTGCAATCCTCATGAGAAGATGCTCGCATATCCTCCCGCGTGCAGTGTAGCCCAGAATGGATTATTCCGCAATTGAGGGACAATATTCTCAGCCGCGACCAAAACATGAAGGACCAGTTGTCTTTATTGACCGACGAGTGATCATGGGGGTGTCAAAACTAAAAGCCCCCCTGAGGTTATTCGTGCCCCTCCTGCGCATTGCTCCCACCTGGGCCATTCGCCCCCTCTCGTCGCCTCCGACCGTCGTCCTGCCCGTCCGTCACTGCGAGCCGTGCGCCGGCCGGCGGGAGGGTTTGGGGGGGGGGGCCTCTTCGCCTGGAACAAGCGCACCGCCTCCGCGGCCTCCCGACGATGGGCCGCCTCCCGCCCAGCGGCGTCGGTTGGCTTGGCGCTTCCTCCGTCCATCCCTCCCCCCTCCTCCTCCCTGCTTCCTTTCCTCCTACATCCTCCTCCTCCTCCTCCTCCTCCTCCTCCTCCTCCTCCTCCCTCCTTCCTTTCCTCCTACATCCTCCTCCCCCCCTCCCCCTCCTCCTCCTCTTCCTCCTCCTCTCCTCCTCCTCCTCCTCTCCTCCTCCTCCTCCTCCTCCTCCCTCCTCATCATCCCCCTCCCCCTCCTCCTCCTCCCTCCTCCTCCCCATCCCTCCCTCCCCCCTCCTTCTCCTCCCTCCCTCCCTCCCTCCCTCCCCCATCCTCCAATCTCCTCCTGCTCGCTTCCTCTCTCCTGCTCTGTGATGCCGGATCGCTGCCTCTCTGGAACACAGGTCCTCCGCGTCCGTCTCTCTTCCTGTGTGCATCTATATGTATGTATATATGTGCATATCAGAGCGAAGGGACAGCACGGTCATTCACTGTCCCTGGGTGCGTGATGCTTGTTTTGTTGCGTCGTCCCCCCCGCGACCCGGCCCGCGACCCACCCGCGACCCGGCCCGCGACCCACCCGCGACCCAACCCGCGACCCACCCGCAACCCACCCGCGACCCACCCCGCGATCCGCTCGCGACCCACCTGCGACCCACCCGCGACCCACCCGCGACCCACCCGCGACCCGGCCCGCGACCCACCCGCGACCCACCGTCGACCCACCCGCGATCCACCCACATTTATTAAACAAAAGATCGGCACCTGCGGCGGGCTCACTGTATATATTGAAAAATTATGCGGCTGCGGCGGGCTTCTTGAAAGCCTCGCAGACTGCCGACGTCCCCGCCGCCGCCTCACTCTTATCCGCAACTGCGGGGTACTACGGCATACATATATACATATATACATAAAAATATATACATACATATATATATATATATGCGTATATATACACGTGTTCTCTCTCTCTCTCTCTTTCTCTCCTATCTCGTGCGCGCGATCGAAGTCAAGAGCAACAACCGAGCCAGAACTGCACCCACACCTCATGGCCGAGGCTTGCCCCGGCTGTCTATGAGGCGCTGGATGCAAAGCAACTCTCCCACCCGGGTGCAGTCCCAAGCCCCATGCAAGTACAGCCAGATCGTTCGTCCCTGCCCGCTCCAACCTCGCGCGATCTCTCGCCTTCTCGCCGTCGGATGGTGGCCGTCGACCTTCGATCGTCGAGATGCCGAGAGAGAGAGAGAGAGAGGATCTGCATCACGGTGCTGGAACGTCCCGTGCATTTGAGGTCGTGACTGTTTCGCGACTGCCGCTTTCTGCACGGTCCAGGGGGCCTCGCGGGGACCCCCAGAGGCCGAGATTGCTTTTTGTTGTTGTTGTTGTTGTTGTTGTTGGTGTTGTTGTTGTTGTTGTTGTTGTTGTTGCCCGCCACGGCTGCCTGGACTGGCCCATCTCAGAGGCCCAAATTGTCCAAAACCACCACGCCATGATTCGGCGGCGGCGGCCGGCGGGGGGGAGGGAAGTGAGAGGGGGCGGGCCTTCTCAGCAGGCTCGGAAGGCCTCGGGCCGGCTGAGAAGTTTTCTCGGCCTCCCCGAACACACAGAACACATCTCAGAAGTCGCGCGTGCTACTGAAAAGTCCCGCCGCATTCTGAGAGGGCCCTTTCCCTCTGACCTTCCCCCACATCTTCTCGCCGCCAAGGGCCCTCCCCCTCTCGTTCTTCCGGACCCGCCGCCCGAACCTTCCGCCCGATGTTCGATATGATCATTGTGGGCTTTCTTTAATGACGTAAGGATCCCATGAATTTCGATTAATTCTTCCGCGCCTTCCACGGAGGTCGGAAGGTATGTGAAGAGGAGGAGAAGGAGTATGAGGAGGAGGAGGAAGGAGGAGGAGGAGAAGGAGGAGGAGGAGGAGGAGGAGGAGGAGGAAGGAGGGGGCTCCAGAATGCGCTCCGCACCTCTCGGGCCCGCCCACCCTGGGCACCCCCTGGGGACACCTCCCGGAACCACCCCGTGGCCCCTTGACCGCGCGGCCTCCCGCTCTTCCCCTCTGTTGTCTCGCTCTCGCTCTCTCTCTCTATCTCTCTGTCTCTCTCTCTCTCTCTCTCTCTCTCTCTCTCTCTCCCCCTCTCTCCCCACCCCATCCGCCGCAGCACGCAAATCTGCACACCTCTCCGCGTGATCCTGCCCCGATTCTTGTTCTCGATGCTTCCCAAAGAATTGAATTGTTTGTCTGTTGGCTACGTTGTCGTCGTCGCCGCCCCGACGCCGCCCGTCGTTTAGGACTGCGGGCCGGTCTGGCGGTTATGTTGTCGCCGTCGCTGCCCCGTCGCCGCCTTCGCCGCCGCCTTGCGTATACTGCGCCGCAGAGCTTGATACGCACATACTGTACAACATATATTCCACTACACGGATTCTCCGTCCCAAAATTGTACTCGAATATCCCCTCCCCCCGGACTTACTTGGACCCGTTCGCGTATTGCATTTTACAGTTGTTGCTCGTCGTCTATCCTAAAAATAAGCTCGTTTCGTGCCGACCAGACTGGTATCGACCCCCACCATCCTCTTCCAAATATACATATAACGGCGCACCGGGTCCGGGGGCCCAGGGCCGGGACCTCGACCACAAATGTGCGCCCCGGGGGGCCCGGAGGCTCGTCGGGGCTTGCCGGAGGCCTCCCCAGTCAGACAAGACGGCCCAAGAAGCGCCCAAGACGGCCCAAGAAACTTCCAAGAGGCCTCCAAGAGGGCTCCGAGATGCTGAAGATGGCCTCCAGACGTCCAAGGACGCCCCCAAGAGGCCCCAAGAAGCCTCCAACATGCGTCCCAAGAGGGCCCCTAGACGCAAAAATTGGCCCATTCCCTTCGTAAAACGTACATTTTCAACAAAGTTGTCTTTTGGGCTTTCCGACGTTACAGGACGGCCCAAGAGGCGCCCAAGACCGCCCCAAGACGGCCCAAGAAGCTTCCAAGAGGGCCCCAGGACAGCCCAAGAGGGCCCCAAGACGGCCCAAGAGGCGCCCAAGATGGCCCAAGAGGGCCCCAAGACGGGCCCAAGAGGGGGCCCAGAGGGGGACCACGAACCGCAAGCTCGAGCCTTCCGCCCCAAGAGGCCGCCAGGAGGCCCCAAGGAGGCCCCTCAAGAGGCCCCAGGAGACCCCCAAGAGGCCCAAAGGAGGCCCCGAGAAGCCCCAAATCGGCCCCCAAAATGCTTCGAACCTGCTTCCAGGAGGCCCCCGACAGGTTCAGAGGCTCCCGAGAAGCTACGTCAAACTCCCAGCGAGCGGCCGGACGAGGCCCCCCACAAAATCACAAAAGGGTTCCAGTATTTGTATCCTTCAGCGCTCTCTGGCCTTCTTCCCCCTGCCCCCTTCCCTGCGACTTTCGTTGATTCAAGCTCGCTTCCTAGCTAGAACCTAAGCGCGCGCGAAGCGCGCGCGTGGTTCTAGTAACTATGTGCGCGTACTCGTTACCAGGTGTCAAACTACGCTCCCAACGAAGTGGACGAAGTGCAAACGCGCGCGTCGTCGCTCGCGCGCGTATGCCAAAATCTTCTTGCATCATCAAGTTTCGTGCGATGTTCGAAAACCGAGTGTCGCACAAACATATAGAAACACATGGTTTCTAAAAGGGGGTGCTCAAACAAAAACATGCGTTCGCGCTCTGGCTCTTGCAGACTCTTGCACCAACCATTGTTTGTGCGTTTGCATTTACAATGTTCATCAAACAAAAGGACCTCTCGCAGGCTCGTGCCGAAATCGTTCGAACGCCCTTGCGCGCGTACTGTCGCAAAAACCGGTTGCAAGATATGGGCATAAGTGCACGCGCGTGCGTACTCGCGCGCGCATGCCGACATGTGTAAAAAAAACGTGGTTTTCGTAAGGAAGTTAAAAACGATTGCCATGAATACGTATAGAACGCACATTGCTTCGGAAAAAAACAGTTTTCAAAAGAAACCTGGGCGCGCATTCTTGCGAATTCTAAAGAACACGATGGGGCGTTCATCATAAAAGTCTGCCCGACGAGCCTCCCGCGCCGCAAAGTCAAGCTCATCCGAACGCCCTTGCGCGCGTTGGGGTGTCACGGTTAGTGCCAAGTAAGCCCGCGCGGGTCACTCGCGCGCGTCGGCCGCGCGCGCATGTTGAACGCCGTCCAAAACCGTCAGCACCGCCACGGGGACTTCGTCATCGTCATCGGCGTGCGCGATCGACATCGGCGTCGTGATTGGCGTTGCCGTCGTCATCGCCACCATCGTCACCATCATCACTAATTACTATCATAATCGTGTCTACGCTTGTCGGCGTCGCATTGATACCGCGCCAGCGCCTCCGCGGCAGAATCGGTAGCACCGCACTAGTAGACTGCTGCGCGCGCGAGCATGCGCGGGCTAGCGCGGCCGCAGAGATTCACCAGCCAACGCCAAGCACTCATCGTAATCGCCGTCGCATGGTTTTGCAAACTAAGTTGCAGATGGGTTGGATGAGTTCGCGACAGGTGGAGTTGACTTCTCACTGCGAGCATTGGTGACTTTCACCGTGTAGATTGCACCGCCCTTGGCTCCTTTGAACCCCTCTTCTCCACATCCTTTTCCTTTCGTGGTCCCTTTAGTGGCGCAGTCTTTGGCAATGTGCCCGTATCCTCGACACTCGTCACGTGGGCCATTCATCTTGGCCTTTCCTTTCCCCACGTCATTCGTATCGCCGCTTCCGCTGATGTTTTCCATAATGGTCCGAAACCAACAGCTCCCGCTTTCGTCCCAAAAAAAGGAACCATTAACGCCTGTGCCCCATTTACCAATGTGTGAATCGTTAACGCGGCCGGTTTCCATTGAATCATTTTTTTGTCCGTGCTGGCGTCTGCTATTTCCTTATTTGCCCAACATTCGCCCTTGATGACAAGTTCTTGCCAAGTGCTAAGATTTAGCGACGCGGGCGTTTTTCCACAATCCTGTTGCAAATCGTCGAATCAATCACCTGCGTGGGCCGTGGTGAACCTCCACACGGTAACCCTGAACGGCAATGGTAACGAACATGAAGACCAATGGTGCGCCAGGGACTCAATCAACGCACTCCATTGTTCGAGTTGTTTCTCCACGTCGTTCACCTTCTTGGTTTTTTCTCAGGATGCATGACCACGTTCATCCTGGAGGAGAGCACGACTCCAACAATACCATGATACACACATTGTACATACTCTGCAACGCAATGAAACCGTTGTCTTCATGTAAACCTTGAAACTTCCCGCGGGGCTCCGTCTGGTCCGGCTTGCCATTCAACATAAAACAATCATCGTCAAACTCGGCGTGGCCGTCTTCAGTTAACTCGGATTATCAATGTGCGTCAGTTTCGTATTTCTTGGCGTGCGACGCATTGGTGTATTCGATCAGTTTTCACCTCTCACGTACGATCGTCATTACAACGTCCTCTTCGTCGTCTGGCAGCACCCCAATCCATGGCTTCGACTTTGTTGTTCGAGTACTTCGAGGCTGTTAGATACTCGTGCTTCACGTGGGCAAACGCATTCAACAACTTCCCGCTCCATTCCATGAATTTGGCCGGGTCACCCGAAAACGCTCTTCGTGTCAAGCCGTCTTGTCCTCGCTCACGGGCATGTCCTCCTCCAGCCCGGTTGTGGCCAACTGGCTGTATAGCCTCAGCAATCTTGGTGGCATGCTCTCAATTGTTCGCTGCTTGACGTTGGGATTCCGTCCGGACGCGTTCCTTCAAGTGTTTATCTTGTTCCTGGCAGTACACGTTGCGCATCCCCAGACATCCGACGTCGCATCTTCTGCTTTAAAGCAGAGGCTCCAATGGTTGTTCCTGACCTTTTCTATATTCCAAAGGTCCAAAGGGTCAGCGCGGGTCAGGGAAAGCCAAAAGTGACCAAACAATACTTGGTTCTGATCATCTCTCGACGCAAAGATGTCAGGGTCTTTCGCCGCCTCCTCCTGGTTGGGCCTCGTCCTTCCCCCTGGCGGAGTAGGAGGGGGTCCGAAGGCGCACGCGGGTGGGGGAGCCCTCTGCCCTGGCACGCACCTTGGCCTTCTCCGATGAGATCTTCTCGCGCCTGGCGCCGACCTCACGCCTCCCGCTGGGCGGGGGGGAGGCGGAAGATTCCTCCTGCTCCTAGCCCTCATCCTCCTCCTCCTCCTCGCCCCCCTCAACCTCCTCCCCGTCCTCCTCCTCCTTCTCCTCCTCCTCCGCCTCCTCCTCCTCCTCCTTCTCCCCCCCCCTTCCTCCTCCTCCTCCTCCTCCTCCTCCTCCTCCTCCTCCTCCTCCTCCTCTCTCCTCCTCCTCCTCCTCCTCCTTCCTTCTCCCTCCTCCTGATCCTTCTCCTCCTCCTCCTCCGCGTCCTCTTCCTCCTGATCCTCCTCCTCCTCCTCCTCCTCCTCCTCTTCCTCCTCCTCCTCCTCCTCTCCTCCTCCTCCTCATCCCCTTCCTCCTCCTCCTCCTCCTCGTTCTCGCTCGTCCTCCTCCTCCTCCTCCTCCTCGTTCTCGCTCGTCCTCCGCTCGTCCGCCCGTCCTCGCCCTCCCCGCACCCGGCTCGTCGGCTCCGTTGCTCGGAGCTCCCCGCCGCCTGCGCTCCGCCGCCGTCCCCCCCCTCGGGGGCCCGCCGCCTCTCCCCGGCGTCCCGCCCCCGCTCCTCGCACACTGGCGCTCCTCCTCGTCGTCGCCCTCCTCGTCCTCCTCCTGCCCCTCCTCCTCCTGACCGTCGTCGCCGTCCGCCTCCTCCTCCTCCTCCTTCTCCTCCTCCTCCTCCTCCTGCTCCTCCTTCTCCTCTTGACCGTCGTCGTCGTCCTCCTCCTCCTCCTGCTCCTCCTCCTCGTCGTCCTCCTCCTTGGCGCGGCGCTGACACAAGGACGGAGCCTGAAGCGCTAGGATGCAAAACAAGGTGTCGAACGCCTATACTCAGGCCGATAGCAAACTAACAAGACCTGACGGGTGCAGCAGAAACGGCAAGGCGGATATAATCGAAACAAGTAAGAGGGCCCCGAAAGGCATAGAGTATGCGCCCGCCACCTCGTCCTCCACATGCCCCTCCTCCTGACCGTAGTCGTCGTCGTGATCGTCATCGTTGTCGTCGTCGTCGTCGTCGCTGTCGTCTCCCTCCTCCTCCTCCTCCTCCTCCTCCTCCTCCTCGTTCTCGCTCCTCCTCCTCCACCTCCTCTCGCCGACGGATTCCAGCCTGGCAGGGTCGAGACAGTGGGAGCGGAGGCCCCGCCAGGGTGGAACAGCAGCGAGGACATCTCAGCCTCGACGTGACAAGAAACCTCATCCTGGGACTGCGCTTGGCGCTGTTCCGCACGTCCCCATCTTGTACAAAGTTGGATGTTGGAGGCCTGGGACTAGGCACCAACACCAACACAGGAGATTGCCTCCACCGGGGGAAGATGACCCTAGATTTCGGTGCAAGTGGAAATCTGCCGGCCACCTAGGCAGCCCGAATCTTACCACCATCACCGAGGTCGCGATCATCCTCCCTCAATCAAGTCGCACCGCCGATATTGGTGGTGGAATGAGACTCCAGGCCACCGAGGAGAGATGTCTGCGCAGTGCCCGAGGGAGGCCAGGTACAGGGCGGGGAAAGCGCGTGTCTGCCGACCCCCCACGGCTGAGGGCCCAGGACCTGGTCGCCAGAGGGGGAGGAGGAGGAGGAGGAGGAGGAGGAGGAGGAGGAGGAGGAGGAGGAGGAGGAGGAGGAGGAGGAGGAGGAGGAGGAGGAGGAAAGTCCTGGAGGGACTCGCCGCACCCCGGCAGGTCAGGCCTGGCTTCGAGCCTCCGCCTGATCCTGCTGCTCCTCCCCAGCTGCCCTCCGAGGAGCCTTCTGCCTGCCTGCCGCCTCCTCCTCTTCCTCGCACAGGCCGAGGAGTTCGTGAAAATGGCGCGCCCCACCGGGTCTCCTTCGCTCCTGTCCTCAAGCCTCCCCCAGGGCCCTCCGAGGTCCTCAGGCCGAGGTCCTCAGGGGGGCGGTGGATGATGGCTCGATGAAGGGCCCCCGCGCTCTTGCCCCTCTCGACAGGGGCAGTGCGGTGCATCCGGAGGCCCCCCTCCCTCCGTCTGGCGCGGTCCCGACTCAGAGCGCGAGGGGGCCATAGACTGTAGATCACACGAGACGTTGTGGACTGTAGCGGGTGCGGGGCCTATTCGGCCCTGGGTGCCGCATCTCAGCCATGTTTGTTGTCGCGGCCCCGAAGCGCTTGGGCACAACCCTCAGCGAAAGTGGCGCCGACAGAACTTCATGTCAAGGGTTCACTTCAGGGGCGCGAAGGGTAGTCCTGCCACCCCTGTCCCCCGACGCCTCGAGGTGACGGACGAGGCTGTGCGATGGCTCGGCTTCGATTGCAGATTGTCATGCCTGGTCGAACTCATCCAACTTTATCTGCTGATTGGCTTCTCGGTGCTCCCGTGGTCGGTCGGACCCCGAAGGCCGCGTCGGTGATGTCGCACCCCCAACGCTTGCCGTGGTAGTTGTCCCTGACGGCGCCGGTAGGTTTCCATGTCGTGCGACAGACTGTGCAACTGTAGATGATGATGCTGATGATGCTGCTGATGATAATGATGATGCTGATGATGGTGTTAAGCTTGCTGCTGTTGATGCATATAATGATGCAAGTGATAGAAGTGCTTATGATGAGTATGATGGTGAGTATTATGATGATGCTGAAGATGATACCGATGATGTTGATGAGGATGACGATGCGTTGATGATGCTGAGGCTACTGAGCGGCGTAGTCAAATGCGGCCCGAGCTTCAATGTGCCTGTCATCGGCTCTTGCAGCCGCGCGCACTGGAAGAACGCATCATCCCCGCATCATCAGCCTCACCATCATCATTATCATTATTATTCGCATTCTCGTACTCATACTCATACTCATACGCATACTCATCACCATCATCATCATCATCATCATCATCATCATCATCATCATCATCATCATAATCATCATCATCATCATCAGCATCAGCATCAGCATCAGCATCAGCATCAGCATCAGCATCAGCATCAGCATCATCATCATCATCAACATCATCATCATCATCATCATCATCATCATCATCGTCATCATCATCATCACCACCGGCATCATCATCATCACCACCACCATCATCATCATCATCATCAGCATCATCATCATCATCATCATCAACATCATCATCATCATCATCATCAACATCATCATTAGCAGCAGCAGCAGCAGCAACATTCCGAATTCTCGCTGGATCCCCGCACCCGAACTCGGCGCGCCTTCCCGTCGTGCCCCGTGCTCCTCCTGCCCACCTCCCCAGGAAACGCGGCGGGGAGGTGGGGCGAGGAGAAACGGGATCCGTGGAGGCGAGGAGGAGGAGGGCTAGCAGGGGATATGTCGACCCCTTATCCCAAGCGTCGTGGGGTTTCCGAATGCACCAAGAACCAGAAATTTGGGGCCCCACCGTGGAATCTACGAGGGGGAGGGTCCATCCTCGATGCGGGTGCGTCCGAATAGCCCCCTGGGGGTGTCTCCCAGGGTTTCCCTCCTTTTCTTAGCCGCTTCTTTTTTCGTCGACGGTCGCGGGTTGGGATAGAAATATGGCCTGCGCAGAGCGCGGACGAGGTGGACGAGGAGGACGGGGATTGAGAGGGAGGACGGACGAGGACTCGGCGGATGCGGACATGGCTGGAACGTGCCAGGACGAGGATGGGCAGGAGGAGGAGGACGGGGCGTAGACGAGGGAGAGGGGGGAAATGACGAAGAACGGCGAAGATGGGGTCAGGGTGGGCAGGACGGGCTCGGGCAGGTAATTTGCGGTGCGCGAGCTCCCGGGGGAGCGCCCTGTAGCCACGCAAGCTCGAGTGAGAGTTGGAAGCAACCGCCGATCGCCACATCTCCTGGCGCGACTCTTCCCGTGGAGCGGCACATACGGCAAGCAACTTTGCTATGCGAAATTTGGGGCACATGACTCGTCGACCTTTGAGGGCCCTAAGGTGCCGCAGAGATTCTGTGGGTCCCTGGGGCCATCGAGACGTCCGCCACGCGCTTGCAGCGGTTGGTGTGACGAAAACAATCCCAAAGACAGAGCTTGGGCAAAAAGGGCCCCGTGGACCCTCCCGTCTCCCCCTGTCGGGTCGGGCGAAAGGGGGGGATAGCAGAGGGGGGGCTTGAGAAGCAGCTCACGAAGCTGATTTTTCCCCGGCGCCTCCCGGCGCTGGAGGCGGCTGTGCATCGAGGAATGGGCCCCTCGGTGAGGCCGAAACCAGCTGCGTGCCGCAAATTTCGTACCCCCCCCCTTTCCCAATCCCCCCCTTTTGATGGACTGGTTTTCCACCACCACCGCCACAAGTTGGAGGGGGAGGGGGCCCGCCTCCTCCTCCTCCTCCTCCTCCTCCTCCTCCTCCACCTCCTCCTCCTCGTCCTCCACCTCTTCCCTCCTCCAACTTATGGTGGTGGTGGTGGAAAACAAGCCCATCACCTTCCGCCCGGCCCGACCCTGCCCCTCCCGACGCCCGCCCGAGCGCGGTGGCGGCATCGTCGTGCGGCAGCGCAACTGACTGGACGACACGCCTCCGATCGGGGCACCCTCGGGCCGGGGGCGACAAACGGGGGGATATAGCCAAGGAGGGGGGGGGGGCCGAGCATCCGCTCACGCAGCATGATCTTCCCGGCGCCTCCCGGCGCCGGGAGGCCGCCACGTGTCGAGGAATGGGCCCCTCGGTGGGGCCGAAACCAGCTGCAGGCAGCAGACTTCGTAATTAACCCCCCCTTTCCCAATCCCCCCCCTTTCCGTCCCGCCCGACGCCTGCCGGCAGGCCGCTTTCTTGTCTGACGCGCTTGCAGCACCCCATCGAGGAGGCTGCCCCCCCCCACTCTCCCCCGGCGGACTGTCTCTGCATCTCCTGCGCGTGCAGCTGGTTCGCAGCGTCGACCTCCGCTGCGCCCCCCCCCCCCTCCCCATCTCGCCGTGCAAGGCAAGGGATGATGAGAGAATATCCCAGTCTCGGTCCCAGTCGGGACCCCCCTGGCCAAGAACGGTGCCAGAGCCAGAAAAAAAACCGTCCCTCCCTAGAAAAAAAAGAGAGCCCCTTCCTATCCCTCTCCCTAGGGAGAGGGAGAGGAAGGGGAACAGGAAGGGGCCAGCGTGAGGCGAGGCAGGCACGCGCCTTCGAACCCAACAGGCGCATCCGCCCTCCCGACCCCGCTCCTCCGCCAACCCTTTCCTCTGATCAGCCGCGCGCGCGAACCGCCCGGCCATGTCGGGCACCTCTGGCAGACAGGGTACCCCGAGTTCCTGAAGGAATCATCGGGGGGGCGTCACCCCCGCCGACAGCCCCACATCGACCCCCGTTGCGGGCAGCCACCGCGCGCTGAAGGCGCTCCGACCCCCCTAGCGGCGCGACGACGAGGCGAGGTTGACCCCCGTCGGGCGGGTGGTACCCCCCCACGCTTATCAAGAATCCCAAGAAAAGGGTGAGGAGAAAACGACCCTGCGGGGCCAAATCATATACACACCACCACCACCTCCCTCATCCCCTCCCTCTCCCAGGGAGAGAGGAGAGGAGGAGGAGAGTGGATGAGGGAAGGGGGAATGGAAATGGTGGTGGTCCCGCAAACCACGATTGGGGCCCGCAGACCCGGGGAACAGACCTGGTGGGCGCAGGCCCGCAGAAGCTGCGGCCGCGACACCCTCTCGAAGGCCGAGGGTGGACCCTTCGCTCCACCCGGAGTCGGCGGCGAGCGAGGGGGGGAAGTGAGAAGGAGAAGGCCTCCTCTGAAGGCGGCGGGACTTCCCAGAAGCTCTCGCGCCTTCTGAGAAGTATACTGCGTCTTCGGGGAAGGCTCAGAAAACTTCCCAGAAGGCCAGGGGAATTCCGAGGCTTCTGAGAAGGCCCGCCCCTTCTCACTTCCCCCTGGGCTCGCCGCCGACGGAAGAGTGGGGGCTCGATCGACCTCTGGGGATTTCATGGACCGGCGCTGGATACACCGGCGGCGCCTCCGGCGCCGCCCATGGCGCGCTCCGCGCACCAGAGATGGAGGCCCAGCGCGAATGCAAGAAATCTGCGCCGACCTTCGAAACATGTGTTTTTAATGATGTTGATCTTCGTCGATCGTAATGAGCGCTCCGGGGGTCGGACTTTGGATGGGCACGATTGAGAGGCAACTGGGGCAGGCTCGGTGGGTGAGCAAGGTGGTCCTGGTGGGACGATTCCCTTGTCAACATCATCTTTGAAGGGGCCCACAAACACACAAATAAATACACACAAATAAAAAAACATATTTTCCCATATTTTCTGGGTTTCTGTCTTCCCCCCCACGTCCCATATTTTCCCATGTTTTCTGGAGGATCGACGATTCATTGTGTCTGTGTGTTTCTTTCCCTCCTAAATCTTGGCGCTCGCGCGGGGGTCGCAGGGCCATGGCCATCTTGCCACTTCCCCGGACGAGGAAGTCCCTGGTCCTCCCCGGGGAAGGTCACAAAACAAATGAGCAAACCAAATGTTCGTGCCCTTACTGAGTAGTTGGCTAATAGGGAGCCCACAAAGGACGTACGCGCCCAGCTATGTACATGAACACGGCCCCTCGATCCGCGAGACCGGCCGCGTTGCACGAACATTTTCGCAATGCGTACTCTCGAAACCAGCGTGGATTCGTGTACATGTACGTCCTTCTTTCGCTCCTGAACTAAGGAGACAGGGGCAAGAGAGGTGCCGGCGCGAAAGTGCGACTCGGAACGAACGAACACGTCACGGGTTGAAAGCATACGCAAACTGTTACGTTTGAAATGCGATGCGAGTGTGGAAGTACATGCCCGGAAACAGCGGATGCGCATCGGTACATGGTCAGGGGAAAGAAGAGATCAGTACAGGCCAAAAGAAAGACGGTATAATAATGCAATCGGAAAAGCGTCCAACACATACTGGGATCTGGCCTACCCCGGAGAAAATGGAGGACCAAAGCTATTCCATTGTTGAGGTAGGAATGCGCTTGCGTGATGTGTATTAAATCCTACGTGCCAGAAGTAAAGTAGATACGTACGAAAAGAAATTCGGCTACGAGAAATGCTTCGGCACCTTTGTCGACGACCTCTGAGCCACGTAGAGTGCCCAGGTGCGTCCACCCCCCGGGCCATCGGGGGACAGGACCTTACCGCAGGGCGCCTGCTAGCAGGCTGGTTCCTCATTTGATGCACCTTCTGCGCAAACTTTCCGCGGCCGAAGAGGGCTCCCTTCAAACCGGATACGCTTGGCGGAGGGCGGCGGGCATGACGGAGGACACGGACGAGGAAGACGCAGGCGACCCGCTGACGAGTGAAGTCCTGGCCCTCCCGCGGGCTCCCGTTCCGCAGTCGAAAGGCAGATGCTCTCGTTTTTCCAGCGGTGTCTTGCAAGGGTGAGTCACAACGGGAGCGAACGCAGCGACCTGGCAAAGTGAATCGAAAGGGCCGAACTGGGGACGAACCAGTGGAGATGGAGACGATGGCGCACAACAACTCCTGCCCGTTGTGGACCAGACTCGCCGCCGGCTCCATAGCGAACGCTGGTCCTTCAGTGGCAAACGGCATCGTTCCCGCAGCAGTCGCTGACCGTCTCGGACAGCGGCCGCAACCCGCTGGATACGCGCCAGATTTGCGCGGCGACATGTCCATGGATACATGGGATCCGCGCGCATCCAAGGGATCCCATGCGTTTTGCTCGGGATCCAGACAGCGAGGGCGCGGATCCGACCGGCTCTGGACACCCTTCGGCGGCGAGCGAGGGGGGAAGTGAGAGGCCTTCTCGGAAGGCGGCGGGACTTCTGAGAAGCCCTCGCGCCTTCTGAGAGGTCTTTCTGTGCCTTCCGGGAAGGCTCAGGAAACTTGAGCAGGGACCGAACATCCCGGCATTTCTATAGGCCTACCACGACATGTTCTGAAAACCCAGAGATGCTCTCAGAACGAAAACAATGTTCTTATGACAAGAACCAGGTGTGGAAAAACAAGACGGTCCAAACCAGGAATGTTCCAACAGCATTTCGTGGAAGCCACAAAAGGTTCTTAGACCATTGTCTGCTAGGCCTACAGGCACGCCAGGACGCTTCGCCACTGCCCGAGAAACTCCTCAGAAGGCCGGGGGACCTCCGAGCCGTCTGAGAAGGCCTTCTCCTTCTCGCTTCCCTCCCCCGGGCGCGCCGCCGAACCCTGCGCCCCGAAAGGAACGTTGGTAGAAATTGTGAAACAGAGACGCTTGGGTGAAGCGGCGAGCGTGCTCAGCATGGAAGGAGGGGGATGAAGGGGGAGGAGGAGGAGGAGGAGGAGGAGGAGGAGGAGGAGGAGGAGGAGGAGGAGGAGGAGGAGGAGGGAGGAGGAGAGGAGGAGGAGGAGAGGAGGAGGAGGAGGAGGTGGAGGAGGAGGAGAAAAAAGGAGGAGAAAGAGGAGGAGGAGGAGGAGTAGGAGGAGAAGGAGGAGGAGGAGGACGACGAGGGAAAGGAGGCCAAACCGCGAGGGCAGGAGGAGGAGGAGGAGGAGAAGGAAGAGGAGAAGGAATAGGAGAACCGGGGGGAGGATGAGAAGGAGTAGGTTTTAGGACCAGTCCCATTCATCGCCGAGTGAGAAGGAGGGGGGGGGACCACAACAAAAGGCCATTAGGGGCTCTGTTCCTACTTCTCGGGCGGACGCCAACATTGACCACGCGCCAGACCCACGGATCGGGAAAATCCCCCCCCCGAACACACAGGACCAATGCCGCCCGATTTGGAGGCGGAGCGCACCGATTCGGCACGGAAGCTGGACTCGTCGCTGACCCGAGCGCCGCCGACATGTGTGTTCATACTTCTTCAGTCCGCGGTCCTGGAGCTCCCGACCCCTTCCCCGGGGAGTAGCTGTTCGTCAGGGGTCCGTTCTTGATGGCGCCTGGCCCCGAGGACGGGCCCCAAGAACAAGCGCCCAGCAGGAACAACACCCGGCCGTCGGAGACCCGAAACCGATGTCCGGCGAGCTCGAGCTCCGTCGGTCATGCGACGACACGGGCGCCGCACTCCCGGCAGAATAAAGGCGGCCCCGACCTGGGGGAAGAGGAGGAGGAGGAGGAGGAGGAAGAGGTGGAGGAGGAGGAGGGGGAGGAGAAGGAGGAGGAGGAGGAGGAGGAGGAGGAGGAGGAGAAGCCCATGTCTGCGCTTCCGCAGCGTTGGTCAGGCCGACCTGCGCCTGTGAGTTGCGCTGCACGCGCTGGAACGTCTGGATGCTCCCCAGGAGCTGGAACTCGGCCCTCTGGACCTCCCGCGCTCCCCGGGGCCGGGAGGGGGGGGGAGGGGAACGCGCGGGCACGGAGGTTTCTCTCTCTCTCTCTCCTCCCTCCCTTCTCCTCCCTCCTCCCTCCCTCCCTCCTCCTCCATTCCCACCCCCTCCTCGTCGATCTTCTCCTTCGCCTTCATCCATCCTCCATCCTCCTCCTTCGTCTCGACCCTCCTCCTCCGACAGTTGGAAGAGTGGGAGGAGATAGGAGTGTGACGAGACAGGAGGGGGAAGAAAGGAGAGAAGAAGAGAAAGAGGAGGAGGAGGACGAGAAAGGAGAGGAAGAGAATGAGGAGGAGGGGGAGGAGGAGGAGGAGGAGGAGGAGGAGGAGGAGGAGGAGGAGGAGGAGGAGGGTCGTGGAAGAGCGCACGGACGAGCACCACGGGCACATGCGCAGGGCGGCCGCCAGCCAGCAGGCGAGGGGGTGCCCCGTGGAGCGGGAAGGCGCCCGCGTATGCTTGGCGGGAGCGTGAGAAGAGGAGGAGGAGGAGGCGGAGGAGGCGGAGGAGGAGGAGGAGGAGGCGGAGGCGGAGGAGGAGGAGGAGGAGGAGGAGGAGGAGGAGGAGGAGGAGGAGGAGGAGGAGGAGGAGGAGGGAAGGGCGGAGGGTATGGGCCAGAGGGAAGTGAGGGCGCGGCGGCCTGCGCCTCGCTGCGCTCGCCCTCCCACACTCTCTCTCTCTCTCTCTCCCTATATATATATATATATATATATCGGCCGTAGCCGCAGTCTCTGGGAGGGGCTCCAGGTAGGCAGATTTCAGCCAAAACAAATCGAGGCGATCGCTCAACATTTGGTCGGACAGTTCAGCCTCCATCGAGGCCGGAAGCGCACATCCTATGGGCCAGCTCCTGGGCCCCCATGCAGACGCGGTGGGCCTCGAGACGAGCGTAGAAAGGGCGACCTGTCTCTTCCGCGAGGCCGTGGACCGGCTCATTCCCCCCTCCTCTGCTGGAGGATGATGACTCCATCTCCTCCTCCTCCTCCTCTCCCCCTCCTCGCCCTCCTCCTCCTCCTCCTCCTCCTCCTCCTCCTCCTCCTCCTCCTCCTCCCTCCTCCTCCTCCTCCCCCTCCCCTCCTCCTCCCCCTCCTCCTCCTCCTCCTCCTCCTCCTCCTCCTCCTCCTCCTCCTCCTCCTCCTCCTCCTCCTCGGGACTCGACTTCGACAGCTTGCAGCCCCTCAGGGCGGAACGCCAGTGGGCCCTGGGGTTCGTTGGGCACGCGCACACGCATTGGGTCCACGAGACAGCCGACAGTGTACCAGCACAATCGGTGAAGACCTCGGGCGGTCCAGACACGAAAACACTCCTGTCAGGGGGACGTAAGACCTGGGTGCAGGGGACTCGGAAATCCCCGACGAGGTCGTCAAAAAAATGACGAGGCCGAGCCTGCATTTTGACGAGGCCTCCCGCTGCAGACATCCCACAAAACTCCTCCTCGTCAAAATCCGAGGCGCGGTCGTCAAAAAACGATGGCGAACCCGAGTCCTGGCAAACCCGGGTCTTACGCTCCCCCGATCCTGGACATCATCAAAACCACGTAACCTTCGCCATGACCGGCTACCTGCTCACTGGCATGGCAAAGGGGGACAACGCCGGAAATCGAACGGACAGCCTCACCGTTGACATCACCGACCATCACGGCCCATGACACGACGCGGAGGTTAGGGAAGGATTGCTCGAATCCAGCTCCGTCGGTGAAAATCGCGCTGCCAGCTGGGATCACAAGCGGTTAGCCTCTCGGCCAATTGTGACATCTAATGTAGTTATGATATGGTCAACCTCCCCTCCCTGGGGCAGCGCTTGATCCAGAAGCAGGGGGTCGGGGAAGATGCAACGCGCAAACAACTCACGAACATTACCCCGAAGCCGTTTCACACTGAGCGCCGCTCTTCGGAGGGTAGGGTCAGGCCTCTCGCGCCTTCAGGGCCCGAAGGCATGGCATTCGAGTTTCCGATGAAAGAGGTCCCGCGCCTGGCCCTCGTAGGCCCTGCAGACATATGTCAAGTCAGACTTGTTCCTGGCCATTCTGGCCTTGGTCTACCAGTGCGTGCAAAAAGGCAGCACGATGGCAGGTCCAGGTGTCAGCAGGAGCAAGAGGGGGAAGCGGAGGAGGATGAGGAGGAAGGAGGACGAGGAGGAGGAGGAAGAAGGGAATAACCGATCGGGAGGGACGGGATGGGAGAGGAGGCGGACCTTGTGAGATGCGGTGAGAAAACAGGGGCACCGATGGCCAAAACTGAGGACGAAGCGTGGAGGAGGATGGGGAGAGTAACGTAACGCAAATCCCAGGGTGCGGGGGATGTCAGACGCCAAACTCACGACCCCAACGCTACCCGTGGCTTCGTGCATGTGGCATTGAAATCCACCTATCATCCATATCATTTGCTTTATTCCTCCCGCCTCATCCGTCCCTCTCTCAAACTCCTCCTCCTCATCCCTCTTCTCCTCCTCCTCCTCCTCCTCCTCCTCCTCCTACTCCTCCCCCTAGCGCAGAAGCCGATCGGCTCATCTGTCTCTTCTGGCATCGCCCTCCATAAGGGCACTCACTTACTCCTCTCCAGCCTGCACCTCTTCAAACCAATTCCCCTTCTCCTTCTCCTCATCCTCCTCGTCGGTTCCCATCCCTCCAGCAACTCCCCTCCGCACTGACTCCCCATCCTCATCCTCCCCTCGTCATCTTCCTCTTTCTCCACCCTCTTCTTCTCACTCCTATTCCGCAGAATTACCCTCGTCACCGTCGTACTTATACTTCTCGTCGGCTTCCTCCCCCTCCTCCTCCTCCTCCTCCTCCTCCTCCTCCTCCTCCTCCTCCAGCTTCTGCGTCATCCGCCATCTGAGGTCCCAGGGCACTCCGGTGAGCACATCATCTGGCAATCCTGCGCCAGAGAGACAGCGAGAGAGAGAGAGAGAGAGAAAGAGAAGAAAAAAAAAGAGAGAACACACACACAAAGAAGAGGACGTCCGTTCCAGAGGCGGGCACACGGAGGCTGTCACAGGACCAGGGGCCAGCACTCGTGCACGACGCGCTTCGCACGGGACGCACAGACTTTCTCGCGCCTGAACCCAAACACCGAACGAGTGTGCCAGACGGGGACTTCCGCAGATCTGGCGGCCTGGGAATCGATGTCCTGGACCCCCACGGGGAGGCGGGTGCGAACATACTGGAAGCCCCACGGGCCAAAACCCAGACATGATCGCGGCGTAAAAAATCAAGACGGCAAGTCTTTGGCCAATTGCGGCCTCGGTGGGCCCTGGCCGGGCCCTGGGACCGTCGAAACACAACTCAGAATGAAAACCCGGTCCCGCGAAAAGGGTCGGGACTTCTTTATGCGAGGCTTGCCGGGGCCCCTCCGGCGGACGTCTAATAGAAGCCCCCGCCTCGGCGAGTGGAAGCGGAGCCTATTCCCTCGACATGATGGCGAACAGACCCCCCTTCTGCATGCGAGGACCGCTGACACGGCTTCGGGCTTCGCACAGACAGCTGGCACAGATAGCCCTGGCTGGCCTCAAAAGGTAGCCCGGGGCGGTCTCAACACCTCAACCCTGGGGCGCGGAGCGTCCCAGGGGCGCCGCTGCAGGCGGCGCCAGGGTGCGGAGAACGCCCTGGACTCCCCTGAGGACCTGTTTTTGGACGCCCGAAGTACGGAAAGAATGGGCAGAATGCCCAACAACAAATGTTGTCCCAAACCAATAGCAGCCGCTGTTGGGCAGGCGGCCTTCTGTCTCAAATGGACACAGGCCGCGGCGGCGCGGACAGCGAGTCCTGTTCAGGAGGAACAGGAGCTGCTGTTGGCCATTGTGCCCATTCTTCCCGTACCCATCTCGTTCGTGCAGACTGTTGAGGCCAGCTGGGGCTGCCTGCGGGCCGGGGCGCGCCTGTTTGAGCCGGCGCTTCGCGCGGCCCGCTTAGCTTCGGCCGGAAGGGGTGCGCTCTCGACCCGCGAATCGAAAACTGCTTGAGCCGGCGCGCGCGGGGCCAGCGTGCGTCGCCGTCGGCGTCGGCGCGCAGCCCGCGGACTTCTTGCCATCGCTCGGACGTCCGTTCCCCGCGTATCTCTTGGGCTCGTGCCTGCTGCTCCCTCAAGACGGTCCCAGCTGCTCTAAAAGATGGTTCTGACTTTCTGGCGCCCGCCTCGCCGACAAGAGTGCACACGTCCAAGCGGCTCCGAGCCCTTGCCAAGGGCCGCCCCTCCGCCAAGGTCGACCCTGCCAAATCAAGGGTAACACTGTGTCCTGCATTTCGCGACCCATGCCTACATTCATATGGCAGTGCGTCCCTCGGAAGGGTCTACACCCTGCGAAATGCTTAAGAAATCATGGGTTAAGAAATTCACAGTCTCAGAACTTGCATAAAAACCCAACGTTTCCATCAAAATCTTAGGATTTACATTGAAACGTTAAGAAAAATCGAGGCTCTGGCCGAAAACTGGGGTTTTCTTAAGCATCGCCTAAGGTGTACATTCATGTGGCAGTGCGTCCCTCGGAAGTGGGTCTAGTGCGGCGGCGGACGGTGGACAGACCTCCCTTTGGTAGACCTCCCCTCAGTGAAAACGGCCTTTTGACCGAAACCGACGCGCCTGTGCCCGCAAAAGTGACGACCGCGGCGCCCCCTCGCGAGCCGACAACGGCCAATTCCTGAATCGGCGCGTCAAGGCAGGAAGAGCCTATCCACCTCCGACTTGTGCCCTCTCTCCCGTGCCCTCTCCGATCCGACTCGTCGACACTGGTCCTGGCTGGCCTCAAAAAGCCCTCCGAGTAGTCCCAGCTGGCTGACTACCTACCAGACCACCCCAACCCAACCCGAAGACCCGAATTTCGGGTTGGGGGGGGGTAAGGGTTCCACGCGTGTTTTGTTCGATGTTTCCCGAACCCCCCCCCACTAGAAATCGAGGGTAAATCTGAGCCTTCGGGTTGGGTTGGGGTGGTTTGGTGGGTGGTGACTGGCCTCAACACGCCCCCCGAAGTCCAGGGCGGTCTCGGCACCCCAGCGCCGCCTCCAGCGGCGCCCCTGGGGCGCTCCGCGCCCCGAGGCTGAGACGTTGAGGCCGTCCTGGGCTACTGGGGGGGGGGCCTGTTGAGGCCAGCTGGGACTACTCGCGGGGATGCCTTGTTCACGGCTGTTGGAGGTTTCGTGCTGTGGAGGTTTGGGATCCTGGGCGGCATGCTCGAGGGAACAAGTAGGCGAAGATGGAGAGAAGGACGAGAGCGAGGACCAGAAGGAGGAGGACGAGGAGGAGGAGGAGGAAAAGGACAGGAGGACGACGGCGAGAAAGAAATAAGAAGGAGGAGAGAGGGAGCAGCCGGGACAGCCTGGGGGGAGGCCCGTGCGCAACCAGAAGCCTCACCAACTGTGCCAGGGACCCGCCCGTCCCGTCCCCGTCCTTCCGGGTCGTCCTAACGTGCTCCACCTTCATGCGCAGGTCTTCCTCGGTCTCGCGGCTACTGACCGTCTTCGCGCGCGCCTCCTGCAGCGAGGCTCCGCGCGGGGCGTGCAGGCCGATCTCGGGCTAGGCCGAGGCCGAGCCCGTGGCCGAGATCGAAGGGACGCCACGACCACGAGGGCAGCTCCACCCCCCTGCTCCTCTCATACTCCCCCTTTACCCCACCCATCTCCTCCTCCCTCCTCTCCTCCTCCTCCTCCTCCTCCTCCTCCCTCCTCCTCCCCTCCCCCCTCATCATCATCATCATCATCATCATCATCATCATCATCATCATCATCATCATCATCATCATCATCATCATCATCATCATCATCATCGTCATCATCATCATCATCATCATCATCATCATCATCATCATCATCATCATCATCATCACAGCCATCGTCATCATCCTCATCCTCATCATCATAATCATCATTATCATCATCATCAGCAGCATCATCACAGCCATCATCATTATCATCATCATCACCATCACCATCATCATCATCATCATCATCATCATCATCATCATCATCATCATCATCATCATCGTCATCATCACCACCACCAGCATCACTATCATCATCAGTAGCATCGTCATCATCACCAGCATCATCAGCAGGAAGGTCATAATTCGCCGGCCCAACGGGCCAGAGGCGTGCTAAGATCTCCGGTAACTGGTTAACAATAACTCTATACTTCGCGTGCGCGGAGCGGCCCCTGGGGGTCCCCAGCCGGAAAGTACCCCGGCAAGGTCCCGGGACACTCCCGGCAAACTCGGGTCAGAGATGGTTTTCCTCCTGGGTGCGGCCTGCCACGCTCCCCAGAGCGCGCCAAGAGGGCCCCAACAGGCTTCCAAGACGGTCCAAGAGGGTTCCGAATCACCGAACGATCGGCCCAAGACGCCCAACACGGCCTCAAGACGGCCCAAGAAGCTTCCAAGACGTCCCAAGAGAGCCCCGACCCTTTTCAAGAGAACCCCAAGAGGCCAAAATCATTGATTTCCATTAGGTTTTTCAAGGTTTTTGGCTTCCTCGCCGTTTCGCGTTTCCGACGCTCCAGGACGGCCCAAGAAGCCTCCAAGACCACCCCAAGACGGCTCAAGAGGCCTCCAAGAGAGCCCCAAGACCACCCAAGAGGGCCCCACGACAGCCCAAGAGGCGCCCAAGACGGTCCAAAAGGACCTGAAGAGGGCCCCAAGAGGGGCCCAACATGGAGACCACGAACCGAGAATCTGAGCCTTCCGCTCCAAGAGGCCGCCTGGAGGCTCCAAGAGGCCCCCAAGAGGCCCCCCAAAGGCGACAAGGGGCCCGAAAGAGACCCCAAGAGGCTCGACAACGACCCCCGAGAGTCTCCAAGAAGCCCTCGAGAGGTATCCAACGAGATCCCAATGAACGTCCAACAAGCCTCAAAGCGCCAAAACCATTGATTTCCATTGGGTTTTTTCAAGGTTTTTGGCTTCCTCGCCTTTTCGCGTTTCCGATGCTCCAGGACGGCCCAAGAAGCTTCCAAGACCACCCCAAGACGGCCCAAGAGGTCTCCAAGAGAGGCCCACGACGGTCCAAAAGAGCCCCACGACAGCCAAGAGGCGCCCAAGACGGTCCAAAAGGACCCCAAGAGGGCCCCAAGAGGGGCCCAACATGGAGACCACGAACCGAGAATCCGAGCCTTCCGCTCCAAGAGGCCTCCTGGACGCCCCAAGAGGCTCCTAAGAGGCCCCAACAAGCGACAAGGGGCCAGAAGAATGCAAAAAGGAAACTGCAGAATGTTGTCTTGTTCCCTGCGATCGTATTCACGAGCCGCCACCTTCCGAAACAGAAGGTTCAGGCGGGCAAAGAATGGTTCCCGCCTGCGAAATCACCCAAGCCAGCCATCCATAAACAAAAAACGACCCAGCAACACCCCATTGACAACGATCACACGGGCACTCGACAGCCGTGCACCAATACGGGCCAGCGGAATGAGCGAAGCGATTAAATAATGCTCATCATGACCACCACCACGATGATCATAAGCATCGTCATCAGCATCATAGTTATCATTGACAAGATCATCATCATCATCATCATCAGCAGCAGCATCATCATCATCAACATCAGCATCAGCATCATCAGCATCAGCATCATCATCAGCATCATCGTCGTGCCTCCTCCCCCTCCTCTCCCTCCTCCTGCTCCCATCCCTCCTCTAAACACAAAGTACAGATGCCGTGCGGCGTCCTGCCGTCTGAAATATGATGGCCACACTACGGTGGCGGCATTGGATAAGGAACCATTGGGTACGGAATCCAAGGTCTGGAAGCGGGTGGAACTCTAACCGTGGATTGGCCATATCTATATTTTATATAGACATCTGTATGTATGTATGTGTATATATATGTGTATATCACTGCCGCTCTCATCAGATAAGGAACGCGCCAAGGTCTGAAGCCTCTTGGGCGCATTTCTCGACGAACGTCCCAACCGTATGTTGTCTGATGGTGCTCTGCGCTGGTTTTGATATCTAGGGTAAGGCTGGCAATTGTGTGACGGCAGCTCTCCTCCCCCGTTCGCAGGCGGCCACAACTGGAGCTTCCAGGGCATTTACCGCACATTGATTTCTGCGTGCCAGACGAGAATGTTCCAGGACCACGTACGGCGTGTGTGGCTTGAATGGGTGCGGACAATCCCGCCCGACGTTACATGCGTGAGTGGGAGGGGAGGAGAATGAGAAGAAGTCGAGGGAGGAGGCCTCCTCCCCCTCCTAATCTGATGTCTCCTCCTCCTCCTCCTTCTCCTGCTTCTCCTCCTCCTCCTCCTCATAATCCCTCCCTCTACCCAGGAGAAGGATAGCAAGAACAGAACATGAGAAGAGAGAAACGGGAGCATAATGAAAGGAACAAGGCAAAGTATCAGGAAGGAGGGCGGAAGGACGATGGATGTATGGAGGAGGTGGGGGGGAGGAGGGGAAAGACAACGACGACGAGTTCGAAGACGAAAGGTGGTAGAAGGGAGGAGGAGGATCGGGATCGGGATCGGGACAGACGCGAAGCGTCACAACATGATCGACCCACGAACCCGGAAAGGAATCTAGAAATGTAAGGCATTGCAACATTTCGAAGACACTCGATTGGGCGACGGGCACATACAATGCTGAATGTATCGATGATGATGTACTGTGCCGAGGGCTGTGCTGTGCTACGCCGTGCTGAACTGCGATGTGCCATGCCGCGATTGTGCTCTATATAGCGTTGGGGATCGAGTCCTCCCTGGCATCGGAGTCCTCACCAAACTGATCTGGAGCGTAAGCTCGAGCTGCCTGAGCAGATGGTAGCTGCCCCAGAACTAATCGACAGAGGGAACATGCCAGGAGGACGCGCCCAGGAACGTCCCAAGCGACGCGCCAGGCGACGTGCCAAGGGACGTGCCATGGGCACGCACCGCGGGACGTGCCAAGGGGACGCGCTACGGAACGTGCCAGTGGACGTGCCGAGGGACGTGCCAGGGGACGCTCCGCGCGACGTGCCAGGTGGAATCGCTAAGGAACGCGCCAAGGAACGTGCCAAGGTGCATAGTTGAGTGTATCGATCTTGATGTACCGTGCCGACGGCTGTGCTGTGCTGGGCCGTGCTGAACTGCGATGTGCCATGCCGCGATTGTGCTCTGTATAGCGTTGTGGATCGAGTCCTCCCTGGCATCCGAGTCCTCACCGAACTGATCTGGATCGTAAGCTCGAGCTGCCTGAGCAGATGGTAGCTGCCCCAGAACTAATCGACAGAGGGAACATGCCAAGAGGACGCGCCGCGGAACGTCCCAAGGGACGCGCCAGGCGACGTGCCAGGGGACGTGCCATGGGCACGCACCGCGGGACGTGCCAAGGGGACGCGCTACGGAACGTGCCAATGGACGTGCACCGCGCGACGTGCCAGGGGGACTCGCCACGGGACGCTCCGCGGAACGTGCCAGGCAACATGCCAGGCTGCAATGCTCAGGGTATCGATATTGATGTACCGTGCCGAGGGCTGTGCTGTGCCTGGGCGACCTGGACACGTGAAAACACGCGTTTCGCTCAAGACGTTGTCAGCACATCCTCATGCTAGACATCCGCCTGGGCAACCTGGACACGTGCAAACAAGCGTCTCGCTCGAGACATCCTCAACAAATGCTCATGCTAGACATCCGCCTGGGCGACCTGGACACGTGAAAACAAGCCTCTGGTTCGAGACATCCTCAACAAATCCTCATGCTAGACATCTGTCTGGGCCACCTGGAGGCGTGAAACCAGGCGTCTCGCTCGAGACATCCTCAAGACCTGGGCACGTGAAAACAAGCAATCCACTTGAGAAATCCTCAGAATTCAGGTCCCCAGGAGAGGACATTCTATAACACAAAACAAGCGTTTTGCTTGAGACATCCTCAACAAATTCTGAAAAACAAGCGTTTCGCTCGAGACATCCTCAATATTTAATTCGCCGGCCCTACGCGACCTCATTATTTATCGCAGAATAATTTCGCCGGCCCTACAGCCGTCGAAACCGGGGGGAACCAACTAAAAGAGAACCCTGGGCTCGAGCCCTTTCCGGGAAAAAAATGGGACGACCCTGATGAAAATGCAGCGGCTGCAGGGGATACCGAAACCTTCACCACATTTCAGAAACAACCGAGGCCTCAGGTGCACAAGCGTGAAGGTACCTCAAGAAACGTGATGGCCAACGGCATACGGCTGAACCGAAGGGGACTCTATCAGGCCCATTGCAGCACTAGGCTGGTCACCACGCGACCCAAAATTCCGTACAGACAGCACAGCTCCAAAACGGGATTATCCACGCCGAAGACAGCCTGAGGGACGACGACGACGACGTCGAAGGTGCGCACGGAGACGGCGCCGGGCAGAGGACGCGAAGCGGTCGGCCTCCGTCCGCTGCTCGTCGCAGAGCGCATGGAACGCCATGAGCCGCCTCTCGAAGTCGAGGTGGTCCACCGGCGCTGAGCGGGCGGCGGCGCGCGGGATCCGAGCGAGATGGGGCGCGGATGGCGGCCGGGGCAAGCCCACGACGGCACAAAGGGGTTATGGGGGAGAAGCGGGAGCGGCAGGGAAGAGCGGGGGGGGGGGGCTGGAGATTCGGCGGGGGATTGTGTCCGCAGTTGTCATCCTCTCGCGGAGAGGGGGAGAGGGGAGGGAGGCGAGGGAGAAGGAGAAGGGGGGAGAGGGAGCGGAGGACGGAGGGGCGCTGGCGCTCGGAGCTGGATGGGCGGCGGCAGGCGGCGGCAGGCAGACGGACAGCCGCGGCCTCTTCCTCGCCGTCGCCCTGGCGCTCCCGGGTAGCGCTGCCAAGAGTCCCGGGAAAGGGTGGGCGAGGGGGGTGATCGAGCGCTCCCTGCGTTTATGTCCCCGCCGCTGCTCCCCCTTCCGCTGCCCGCCTATCCTTCTCTCTCTCTCTCTCTCTCTCTCTCCCTCCCTCATTCTCTCTTTCTCTCTCTCTTGCTCTCTCTCTCTCTCTTTTTTTTTTCTCTCTCTCTCTCTCTCTCTCTTGTTTTCTCTCTCTCTCTCTCTCTCCCCCTCTCCCTCTCTCTGCCAACCGCTTCGCGCCACCAGCGGCCGCCCGGCGGCCGCAGACGGGCGGGGGGGCCACTCGACCCAGCGCGGCCCATCAGTCCGGCCCGGGCGCGGCGCCTCTCGCGCCAGCCCCGAGAACGGCGCCCCGCAGACCCCCAACCGCAACGCGGCCACCGGCGGACGCGAGCAGGCACGCGAGCAACGAAGAACGCGGGAGGGGCACCCGCCCACCGAGCATCACGCAAACGGCGTGGTGGCTCGACCCCAACCACGGACCCGGCGACGAGTGGACGACGAGGGGGAGGGCCCCCGAGCGAGCGGCCCCGCGGTGCGAGACGCGTCCCCAGCCGTGCCAAGCCGCGGGGGGCGAGAGGGCCGGGGGAAGAGAGGAAGGGAGGACGAGAGGGGCAGGAGGGGGGACGGGGGAGACGGCTCGGCACGACAGGGGGGGGGGGGCTCGCAGCAAGGCCGAGACGGGGAACCCCGGAGGGCCGACCCCACCCCTGCCCCCCGGCTCCCCGAAGGGCAAGCCGACACGCCTCGGGGGCCCCGCCCCAAGCCCCCCCCAGCGCCCCCCGCCGGAGCGCAGGGTGCTTGTACCCTGGAGTCCTCCGGGCTGCGGCAGCCTCCTTTCCCACCCTGGTCCACAGGGCGGGGGTTGTCCCAGCCAACCCGGGTGCTCCACGGGCCCCGCTCCACGGGGGGACACTCTCTCTCTGTGCTTTTCTCTCGGAAACCCTGGGTCACCCCGACTACAGGCCCACATCACATTGAAACAAGGAGAATGGACGGCTATACGAACGTGCGGATCCCTCGGCTAGGAAGACGTGAAACGAAACTCTGTCTCTCTCATTCTCCCTCTCTCCCTTTTCCTGTCTCTCTTTGTTCGCACGGGAACATCTACGTGATTCACGCGGGTGCCGGGCAGATCGCTCTCAAGATGTGGCCATCGCCTGAGCGCATCGCGCACTCGTCCCAAACGCTTGCAACATCCGCGCTGATGGGGACGCTTCCCGCAGTTAGAATAACGATCAGTAGAAACTAAAGAAGACAAGACTTTGGACGGGAGGGTGAATTCTATAGCTGTGGTCAATGCCATCCTCATCACATTCATTCCGGTTCCCCAACCCCGTCCCCCTCTTCACCACTCTTCTTCCTGGTACCTATCTGCCTCCTGATCCCACTCCTTCCTCCGCCCCCTGCCTGGTCCCATCCCCTTTCCTCTCCCACCTGTTCTTCCTCTTCCTCCTCCTCCTCCTCCTCCTCCTCCTCCTCCTCCTCCTCCGCCCTCTGGTCCTCCTCCTCTTCCTCTTCCTCCTCCTCTTCCTCCTCCTCCTCCTCCTCCTCCTCCTCCTCCTCCTCCTCCTCCCACCTGTTCTTCCTCCTCCTCCTCATCCTCCTCCTCCTCCTCCTCCTCCTCCTCCTCCTCCTCTCCCCTCCCCTCCCCTCCCCCTCCTCCTCCTCCTCCGGGGGAACGCTTGGGGGGGGGGGGCCAGCTCAGGGGGGAGCCAGCGTCGGCGATGCCTCGCCGACAGATCGGCAACTCGCCCCCGATGGCGAACCCGCCGACGGCGAACGGGCGGTCGGGGCTGGAGGCGCCCTCCCCCGAGCCTATCCCCGAGCGTTGCCCCGGAGGAGAAAGGGGGAGGAGGAGGAGGAGGAGGAGGAGGAGGAGGAGGAGGAGGAGGAGGAGGAGGAGGAGGAGGAGGAGAACGAGGAGGAGGAGGAGGAGAACGAGGAGGAGGAGGAGGAGGAGGAGGAGGAGGAGGAGGAGGAGGAGGAGGAGGAGGAGGAGGCCCCCCCCCTGCCGCCTGCCCCTCCCCCGACGGCGGCGGCGGGTCGGCGAGGCCGGCGCTAGCGGCCTGGCAGCCGGGCGCGGTCGTGCAGCACCTTCCGTTCCTCCTGGTCGGCCTGCCTGGCTGCCGCCGCGAGGGCCCTGGGGGTGGAGGGGGGACGGGCCCGCGGGGTTAAGGTCAAGTCGGGCAAGCCCTCCTGCGGGCGGGCTTCGGGCGAAACCAGAAAGAATGCTTCCGGAAACATAGATACACACATGGTCAGACATTCGTCGACATGACCGTCCCCTGACTTTTCGTGGGCTATTTCTGAATAGCCCTCCTGTAGAGGGACACGCCCGACGTAAGGGTTAAGGGGGGGGGGCCCTGAGACCCAGGCGGTGCAATCAATTCACGCTGGGCGTTGTCGCCCGGCTGCGGGCCCAAGGGGCCACCACAGATCGGGCCAAGGAAACGCCGCAAAAAAATTAACTCTGGGGCGAAGGATTGCAAAAAAACGAAGGATTGCAAAAAACGAAAGTTTTTTGCAATCCTTCTTGCAATCCTTGGGTTTTTTGCAATCCTTTGTTCCGTGACGGCTCAAGCCGTGATGGCTTAATCAGTGGCCAAATCGTGTTGGTCAGGAGCCGACTTCGCCATCATAAACTTTGGGCCGGTGCTCAAGCCGGGCACGCGGCGCTACAGGCAAGAATTACGCACAGTCTGGCGCACAAGGTTGGGGTGCTTGATTGCGAAGGCGACGATCAATGAACAGCGTCATCGCACTTGTTCACGTCTACATCCCGTTCGCCTCGTAGTGCGATTCCGCTTCTCATCACAGGGGGGGGCCCGAGACCCCGGAAAGGCAATCAATTCACGCTGGGCGCTGTCGCCAGGCTTCGGGCCCCGGGGCCATCACAGATAGGCCGGGCCGGAGGAACGCCGCAAAAACATAAGCTCTGGGGCACCCGTCGAGCTGTCTCACGATGTTGCTGCTTTCTTGCGACTTAGAACCTCAGAGGAGGAAGGGGAGGAGAAACGCGAGGAAGGCAGGCTGACTGGATCGGACAATGACCGATATCTCCTGAGAACACAAGTCATGACCGCCGTACGCCGTCAACATACGTACTATCCTGGACGGCCATCCTGAAACCTCCATGCAAGCAGCGTTCGGCGCCTATACCTAGCTCTGTCTGCCTTCTGCGGGAGGCAACCCAAACATGAACACAATTATGCTGTGCTGCATGATCATCGTTTTGTCACGTGGGTTGCACAATTGACCCAGCCCGGCCAAGGTTCCAGCAAGCGGGGGAGCAAAACACAACATTCATGACGCGCCGCCGCGGGGAACCCATCGGCGCGTTCCTACCGAAAAAACACCTGGCTCAGGCATCCGGACAAAAACGACAAGGTGACCTGCTGGCGAGCTCCCAACGTCGGCGCGCAATCGGCACGAACTTCTCATCTCAAGCCGGTGGTCGGGTGGTCGGTGTCGGAGGTGGCATCGGGATTGGTGTCGAAGAGTGGGCATTGCTGTCAGAGCTGGCATCAGAACCAGAGTTGGTTGGCGTCGAAGCCGGGGCAGGAAAGTAGATCGGGAATCCTGAGGCTATATGTGTCCTGCTTGGCATGGGGACAAAACGCGCGTTTATTTTGCGAGGGCGTGAGGTCGCTGGCTTAGTGTCTTGGAGCCCAGTTGGTGTTAAGGCGTCGGTACGAGATACAAAAATCTACCAATCAACCTTGCGACAATCAATGAACATTGTATTTCCCGGCCTTCCTGGGGGTCCTTTTGAGGATTTTGAGCCGTCTGGGGACCCTATTGGGCCGTCTTGGCGGGCTTGGGCCGTCTTTGGGCCCTCTGGGGGCCCTCCTGGGTCTCCTTTGGGGACCTCCTGTGGCCCTCTTTGGGCCCTCCTGGGAACCTTTAGAGACCCTCAGGGGGATCTCTTTGGAACGCTGGACGCGACGCCAGGGTGCTGAAGTCACCCCGCCTGGGACTGCCGCCCCAAAGCCGAAAATTGGCAAAACACCGCCCGTCATGATCAGAGCGCGAGGGCCGAACGGTCGTTCAGTGTCCCTGGGGGCGCGGAGCTGAGGTGGGACTCCGCCACCCCGCCACCCACCCGCAACCCACCCCGCGCCCGCCCCGTCACTCTCTTCCGCAACTGCAAGGTGCTACACGCTGGTCGGAAGAAGTGGGTAGAACCCTGAAGTAGATGGGCGTTGGAAGTAGATTGGGCCTCCGCCCGCCCCCTGAAAAGGAGGGACGCGGGAAAGCCCCTCGACTCTTGAGGTGGGAAGGCGCCCAACGTAGACTGGGGCCCGGGGGTCCAGCAATACGCGGGAGGGGGGGCCGGCATACACCCTGCGAAATGCTTAAGAAATCATAAGTTAAGAAATTCATAGTCTCATAACTTGAATTAAAAAAAAACCCAGCATTTCCATTCTAATCTTAGGATTTACATTGAAACATTAAGAATAATCGAGACTCTGGCCGAAAATTTAAGTTTTCTTAAGCATCGCCTAAGGTGTATATCTGGGGAGGTTGACCGACCACCTCTCCGACCATCGTGGGGCCGATCCCTGGCCCGATGATCGGTGCCCTGCGCCGTCGGGCCACAAGGCAGGAGGCCGCGGTGCCACCGATCCGACCCGATATCCGATCCCGATCGGATGCCGGTTCTTCGAATCGGAGATCGGCCTACACCTTAGGCGATGCTCAAGAAAACTTAAGTTTTTGGCCAAAGTCTCGATTATTCTTAATGTTTCAATGTTGTTCCTAAGATTTTGATAGAAATTCTGGGTTTGAATTAAATTCTGAGACTATGAATTTCTTAACCCATGATTTCTTAAGCATTTCGCAGGGTGTACTTTCGACGACTGGCGTGCCTACGGCAGGTTCGTGTCGTGCCGACCCCAGCGTTGGTTTCTGACACCGCAGGGATCGTGCAACCTGGAACGATCGGCCGCTGCCGCAACGTCCGATCGTGCAACATCGATCGATTCTGGGTCGCCGGCGGCGTTCAACCTTGAACGTCCGCGCTGGGGTCGCCGCTGGTCGACACGACGCAAACCTACCGTACTTTCGACGACTGGCGTGCACGCATCCGTCACAGCGCGAGAAGCGTCTGGGAGGTCGGCGCGGCCGTCCTGGCGGCCTCCCTCTCGGCCCGCACGACGGCGTCGGCCGGCGGAGCGGTGCGCCGCGCCGTGGTGGGCGGGATGGCTCCTTTTCGCGGGGTGGGGCCTCCTCCTTCCTCCTTCCTCCTCCTTCCTCGTCGTCGTCCTCCTCCTCCTCCTACTTTCTTCCTTCTCCTCCTCTCATCCTGCTTCTTCCTCCTCCTCCCCCTTCCTCCTCAACCTCTTCGTCCTCTTGCTCCTCCTCCTCCTCCTTCTCCTCTTCCTCCTCCTCCCCCTGTTCCTGGTGGCGGCGGCGACGCTTGGCTGCTGAGGCGGGCCCCCTAACCACCGAACACCCACAAGGGGGATTCCACACCACACCCACAGGGGTGGTGCCACCACGCCACGCCCACGTTGAGGGGGGGGGGGCATCGCGCGAGGAGGGGGGGCCGAGGGCATCAGCATGAGGGGAGGGGGGGGGGGCCAGACCTTGGACCATACATGCCATTGATATGTTTGGGTGATACCCGAAAGAGAATCGCCCCTGAGATCTGGGCGACGTCATTGTTTATAACGGGCGTCTTCGCCGGGTGTCGGCCCCTAAGGCCCTCACGGATCGATCGGGGTCGGAAAGTGCAGCAGAAAGACTGGGTCTGGGGCTCCAGCAATCATCTCAAGGGCACAGATCGAAGTTAGAGGAATCCGATGTCTCGGCGTGGTTTGGCCTCTCGGAGGCTTTTCGTAGCCAGGGCAGGGCTGAATCCGCTCTGGGATTCTGGCCAGAGCGCAGCCCAGGAGACGCCCTAACCGGTTGAGGCAGGTGGGGACGGTGTATTGCGCCGCATCGCCGCCAATGCATTGGCGCTGCATCGGATTTGAGAAAATCGGGCTCCACACCGAGCCGCATCGCCGGTGCATCGGCGATGCGGCTCGATCCACAAGCCCCATCCGCCTCGACCCTACTTGGGCGATCCGCGCGGACCGCCGAAAGAATGTGCTCATGCCGCCTGCGGCTCTTCAAGAGGAGACCCCCGCGGGTCCCCCCAGATCCCTCCCCAGGTCTTGGGGGGTATCCAGGGAAGGCCTCCCCAGGCCACACGATGGGCCAAGCAGGCTTAACAGACAAGGGTGTTCTGACCCCCATCGATCCAACAACATATGGCCGCATCGGGTTTGGGGCCGGCTTCTCCTGCCCCGCGAGAACTGAACCAACCCCAGCCCAAGAAGGTCCGACGGCATGGCCATCAGGAGGGGAGCAGGACGACTCGGAACGATGACTTCTTGGAAACATAATTAGAGACGGCTGTGCCCTGTTCTCCTCACCCTTGCTTCCCATGCACAAGTGTTCAAGCTCCAGGGCCATCAAACTATCTGGGGCGTAACATGAAAACTCCCTCGCTCATCACGCTAATCGCGCCGGCTCGCTGAGTAGCCACGGCCACCAAGCCGCAAAGCATCGAGTGCAGCGACCCCTGTTCCCTCAATCCATCCCCTCCTGCCCCTCCTCGCCCCCCCTCCCCGCCGCCGTCGCCGCCACCGGCCTCGCCTCCGCTGCCGCTGCCGCCGCCGCCGTCGCCGATGCCGTCATCGAGGCCGTTGCAACCGCCGCCAGCGTGCTCGCCGCTGCCGTCGCCGTGGCCGTTGTGCTTGCCGTGCTGGCCGTGCTCGTCGTGCTGGCCATCGCCGTCGTATCGCCGTCGCCGTCGTGGTCGCCGTCGCCGTCGTCGTCGTCGCGGCCGCGGCCGCCGTCGCAGTCGCAGGCTGCCGCCGCCGCAGGCCTTGCCGCTGCCGAGCGGCGGCGTGGGGCGGGCCTCGTACCTGCACGTCCTGGGCGCCTGGGGGCGGGGCGCCGAAGGCGTCCTGCAGGGAGCCGTAGCGGCGCTCCAGGTCGCGGATCTGCTCCTGCGCGTCGCTGGGCCAGGTATAGAAAGAGAAAGGAGGCCACAAACAGAAATTGGCGCTTTCGGCGGATTTCTTGGATCCGCGCTGGACCACCCTCCCTGGCGCGCGGAGCGCGCCAGGGGCGGGGGGGCGGCCCAACGCAGGTCCAAGAAATCCGCGCGGAGCGCCAAAAAAGTATGTTTATAGCGATATTCTTCTTCGAAGGTAACCCCGAAAGGTCTCTAATTGACACCCGGGCAATATGGGAAACCGATGAATTTTGCGTGACAGATTTGGACCCCTACAATAGTTGGAAAATGACAATTCCCCCACGGCGGCCAACGCACAGGCCTTCACCAAAGTCGTCGCCGCTAGCAAGAGGGGAAGGAAGAGAGAGGGGAAGGAGGAGGACGGACGAGTTTCCATTCCCCGTTGGTAGCTTTTGGGGGGTGAGTCCTCAACATCAAAGACCCTTCGCGGGCATCAAAATTACACATCGTTGGCTGACAACGCACATCGAGAAGACACACACACACACACGGAGCACACACCGGCAGCATGCATCGGCGGCACACGTCGAGAACAGGCACCGACAGCTGAACACCAAGGACCGTCATCAAGAATCAACACCAAGGACACACACACACAAACGCACTAACAATACGCACATTGACTAGCAATGCACCGAGATCATGCCTTTCGGCTATACACAAGAGTGAACCTGGGCAAGAGTGACCTTTGGTGCGCGGCTTTTGGGGGGCCGCGGGGGGACCAGACCTGGGCGCGCAGGCCGCTGCTACCGCTTCGTTCTCGGCCATCCGAGGGGCCCGTCTCTGCCCGCACAGACGGGCCACTCCGGCGAAAGGTCACTCTTAACCCGGAGAAACAATTAAGTACCCCCCCGCGTTATCATCAGCATCGCGCCGTAATTAAATAATTATTTGGGGGGGTTTTCGCCGAGCGATATTATTAGCACCGCGCAAATGGAAGGAAAATAAATAATTCCAGCGCCCCGCCTCGGGTGGCATCCCAATTAGAATTAGAAGCCCCTCCCCTGCGACACCTGTGGGACCTGTGGGACCTCACACGGGAACCACTTTGAAACTTGTGGGACCTGCGAGACCTGCGGGACTCCGTGGGACCCGTGCGATCTGGTGTACCCCCTCCTGGTGCCAGGATAACGCTTCCGGGTGCCGGGTGCGTTATCCTTTCACCGGAGAGGGGGGGGGGGGTGGTTCCTTAATCGCTTACTCGGGTTACGTCTAGTCGATGTTTGGAGGCATCGCCGTCTTCGCCGCCGGCGCCGGGCCCGTGGCCCCAGGAGAGAGGGAGGGCGCAAGAGACCCCCGGGGCGAGACGGCGGCAGGAAGACGAGCGGCGGGGCCCCCCCCTGAGGGGCCCCCCCAGGCTGTGAGCAGCCACGTTGCACTGCCTTCAGTGTTGTAGCTGGTCATCATTCTAGGAAATCGACAGGATGAAGGGTGCGAGAAAGAGGGAGTATGATAAAGGCCCGGCGGAGACAAGGATTCCCAAGCATAGTTCCTCAGGGTAGTTCACCTCTGCCTCAAGCTGGCCACCCCCAGGGCCTGCACATAAAGCCACCAGAACACCTGCTCGGAGAGTTTCCACGCCCTGTCATGCTACGCGCAATGTAGCTGAAATGATCCTGCAAATCGAATGCAGTACATTAGTTGTGTATGCCCCCTCTGTGAATATCTTTCCCCGAAGCTCCGAAAAACGGCCTGTCGCCCTCCCTCCTCCTCCCGCTCGCAAGCGTCATAAACTACATGTGGCCAACGTTCCCCACGGCCACGACCCCCCGTGCCGGACACTGGATCCGCGCTCTGCGAACTACGAACCCTTCGAAAGTACACTGCGTCCGCGCAATCAGGGCCACGCTCTCTTGTACATTGCACCGCTCCTACGCCCCAGTGGACAGGAGCAGTAGTGGTACATTGCATTGCTCGGCCATGGTCCTCCACCTTCCTCCTTGTGCCCCTGCTCAAAAGAAAAATACGAATACACTTTCGGAGGTCCGTGCGAAGTTCTTGGGATGGCGCTGATTGCATTGCTCGGCCAGGGTCCTCCACCTTCCTCCTTGTGCCCCTGCTCAACAGAGAAATACGAATACACTTTCGGAGGTCCGTGCGAAGTTCTTGGGATGGCGCTGACCCTCTTCCCCTGGCGCGAGGAGCGCGCCAGGGGCGGCGCCCGTGGAGGTCCCGGCGCCGACCCGAGAAATCCGCGCGCACCTCCGACGTGTTATCTCATTATCTCTGTGCCGTCCTCAGCTCTTCGCTGCTCCACATCGAGCACAAATGCAGGAGATCAATCAGCTTCGCATCGAACATCTGTTGGGGCCGGACCCAAAGAATACCACATCGGGCAGCTTCGGCGCGGAGCCGGAGGCGGATCGCATCGGCCGCGACGGGAGGGCCAGCAGTGCAAAACGCATGCCTCGGGCCGACTCGCTTCGGGCCAGCTGGAATCGATATCGATTCGGACCGATCGGATCGCCACGATATCCGGGCGGGTGGCAATGGGGGGCGACCCAAAGGGGGGGTGAAGACAAAAGGGTCCTACAGGTGCCCTCGTGGGCACCGACCAGCTCCGAAAGGTTCCCGAAAGGGCCCCTTCGGGGCCCTTCTCTTCCCTCGGCGGTGGACAAACCTCCCTTTAGAAGACCTCCCCTTAGTGAAAACGGCCTGGGACCGAGACCGACGGACCTGGAACCGCCAAAAGTGACTCCCGCGACGCCCCCTCGCGAACCGAAAACGGCCAAGTCCTCAATCGACGTGTCAGGGTAGGAGGTGAGTCCACCCCCGATCGATGCGTGGGCCCCGGGAATCCGGACCACTTCCCTGCCAGTTTTTTTCGTCCCGAGGCGTTTTTGTTGATGCTCCCGAGGCCCGGCGAGCGCCCCCAGAGGCCGGAAATGGCCAAGAGCTGCCCGCTCCGATTTTCCTGGAGCGTCGGATCTCTGGGAGAGGACCCAGCACCGATCCAAGACATCCGCACGGCCCACCGAAAACTTGTGCTCTGTGCCGCTTTTCCCCCGACACTGGGGGCACCCCCGGGGAGGAGGAGAAGGAGGTGGACGAGGAGGGAGGAGGAGGAGGAGGAGGAGGAGGAGGAGGAGGAGGAGGAGGAGGAAGAGGAGGAGAATGAGGAGGAGGAGGAGGAGGAGAAGGAGGAGGAGGAGGAGGAGGAGGAGCAGTCACTGCCACCCGCCCGCATGCTACGGTTCTCGCGGTGCTGCCGCTAGCGGTCGCTGCACGGGTGCGGCAGCGCGTGGGCGGGGGCGGGGCGCGTCGGGCCGGGGAGGGTGCGCGGCGATCGCCAGAGGTTGCGCACGGACGCCAGCGTGGGTGGTGGTGGTCACTGCATAAGGGAAACAGAATCCCGAGCAGAGCAACACGCACCACGACCACGACGACGCCGACGACGACGACGACGGAGACGAGGCGCGCTTACAATCCGCACCGATTTGGGAAAGGGCCCACCCTGCAGGCGATCGCCAGAGGTGGCGCACGGACGCCCGACGTGTGAACGAGGTCCAGCCCCACCCCCCTGCAGGGCAGTTTTTAACACATAGTATTTTTTGTTTTAAAAAAAAGAAGACTGGATGTTCCACACATGATTACTCCATGGATGAATTTATGCATGAGCTCGTCGTTGCGTTTGATGCTGAATCCCTGAATGTTCAATACATGATCCGCACGCGGAGCATGTATTATTAAAAAAACGGCACTGCACTGAGCAGGGACCGACCGCGCGGGCATTCCGCTAGGCCCGCCACGAAAATATCTCAGAACCCTAGAACGTTCGAATCACAGGAGCAGTGTGGAACATGATCACGATGCGTCAAAACAAGACGCTCCCAGCCAGAAATGTCCTGAGAACACTTCGTGGAAAGCACACACGGTTCTTCGAACATCAAGGGGCCCCAGGACACACAAATAAATACACACAAATAAAATCATTCCCCATATTTTCCCATATTTTCTGGGTTTTTGTCGTCCCCCCCACTTCCCATATTTTCCTATATTTTCCTGGGGATCGACGATTAATTGTGTCTGTGTGTGTTTTTCCCCTCCTGAACATTGCCTGGTCGGCCTGCAGGCGAGCCAGGACGCTTCGCCACTGCTCGACCTCACGCGCGATCGCCACCACTGCCCTCTGCTGCCCTTTGCCTTCCTCTTTGAAGGAGCCCCAGGACACACAAATAAATACACACAAATAAAAATATTCCCCATATTTTCCCATATTTTCTGGGTTTCTGTCTTCCCCCCCACTTCCCATATTTTCCCATATTTTCTGGGAAATCGCAAATTAATTGTGTCTGTGTGTTTCTTCCCCTCCTGACTCTTCCCTCCCCGCGGGGGGGGCGCGCGAAGGCAACCGCCGCGCCGCGCGGCCTCCCCGAGCCTCGGGTCAGGGGCGGCTCGCCCGCAGGCCCGTGGAGGCTTTCAGGACCCTGCGTCGCCGTGATTTGAAAAAGTGCCTGCCGGCTACTCGCGAGAGTGACCCTGGGCAAGAGTGACCTTTGGTGCGCGGCTTTTGGGGGGGCCGCGGGGAGACCAAACCTGGGCGCGCAAGCCGCTGCTACCGCTTCGGTTTCCAGCTATCCGAGGGCCCATCTGTGCCCGCACCAAAGGTCACTCTGGCGAAAGGTCATTCTTACGTCTAATCGAGTCTGTAACCCCCCCCAATAAGAATCAACTGATGAATTTCTCGGCGGCCTTATTCCCGGACTGGTGTCCCACAGATCGGGGAAACACTATTCTTTCCCCCCCGCGGCACTCGCCGCGCAACGACGACCCCAACAACTGCGGCTACGACTGCCATTGCGACTACGCCAACAGCTACGGCTACAGCGAAGACCCTTGCTGGCCCGAGCAACGACCGTCATGCGCCGGCCACCGCCCCCGCGCCGCGCGCTGCCCAGAGGGACGGCGAGCGCGCGGGGAGGGCCTGCACCACTGAAGGGGCCCCAGGACACACAAATAAATACACACAAATAAAATTATTCCCCATATTTTCCCATATTTTCTGGGTTTTTGTCTTCCCCTCCACTTCCCATATTTTCTGGGGGATCGTCGATTAATTGTGTCTGTGTGTTTTTTTCCCTCCTGAACCACGTCGTGCTCCCTGCGCCGCCAGCCCTCGACGTGCTCGGCGAGCGCGCCGTACCTCGACGGCAGGGGGGGGGGCAGGCAGAAGGTGCCGACGGCCGACCCAGCACTACCAGAGGCCTCCCAGATGGGGTCGGAGGATCGCACCGCATCGGCGATGCATCGCCGGTGCCACCGCCGCTGCATCTTCGATGCATTGGCGACGTCGGCGGTGCAGCGGCGACGTGCGCGTGGAGCAGAGCGGGCTCCACATCGAGCCGCACCGGCGATGCGTCGGCGATGCGGCCCGATAATTTTACTCTGACCCCATCTGCTCCGACTCGGGCCACAGCTGGGAGACCTGAAGCTACGGTGAGGAACCTGTGCTTTGCGAGTCGCGACGGCGGCGCTGGCGACACGCCATGCCTTGCGAACGGATGGCGTGTCGCTCCGCTCGGCGGGGCGGAAGGCTGGGAAAGGCTCGAGACGCTGACGCCTCTAGGGACGGGGGCGTGACTAGCGTGTCACGCCGAGGCGTGGTGGGCCAGAACCCGCGGCGCGACACGCGAAGCAAACGTTCCTGGCCGTAGCAGCACCGGGCAGCGCCAACCCCCCGCGAGGCGTGACCAAACCGTCACGGGAAGCTTTTCGCGCACGTTCGGCCCATGGGGGAGCCCTCGCCGGGCCCCTGGGCCGTCGAAGAGCGGCCCGGGGTGAGAAGCTGGTCCCGGGGGGTGGTGGTCCAGACCTACGGGGGCCCACGCTGCGAAGGACCAGAATGTCTGAGTCGGCGGCGAGCCGGGGGGAGAAGTGACAGGGGGCGGGCCTGCTCAGCAGGCTCGGAAGTCCCCCGGGCGGGGTGCGCGTCGTTCATTTCTAAGCGTGCTCAGTTCTAATTGTGCTCGTTTCCGATTCTTCCTGGCCCCCCAGTGGCCAGGAAGAGGCCCAGGATAGAACAATCAGAAATGCGAGGACCTTGGCCCCCCCCCCGAATCAAAGAACCGTCGAACCATTCGAAATGAACCACGGGTAGGCACACTGAAAAGAGGAAACTGGCCTGCCGACGGGTACCGCATGAGCGCTCCTCATCTACCGGCGGGCACGCAGAGCCCACATTGGGGCACCTGGCCCAACGCCGAGGCGGCGAGCGCGATCGCTGCACGGGCACGTGCGCCTTGCACGTGAGGGCATGTGCGCCGGCATGCGCGGGCGGGTGCAGACAAAGGATACACCAAGCACACCGCACATGACCCTGGGGCGCACAGGGACATACTAACACTACATGTCCTCCTCGGAGGCGCGCGTCCGACCCGAACACATAGTATACCCATCTTGTAGTAGATAGTTTCCCGAGCGGTGTGGCCAAAAAGCGCCCGCCAGGACACATATACTATAAGATTTCTCGGTGCGCGCGTCGCCCCTAGGGTGGCGACGCACATATAGTATAAGTATGTTGGGGTGACGCCGTGCTCATGCCTGGGAGCGCATGCACAGTAGGGCACCTGGCCCAGAAGGAACGCACACGCCGGGCACATGCCGCACCGGTGCACGCACATGCCAGCGCAAAAGAAAGGCCGCACGTACATCCGCCCAGGGGCACAGAAGTGAGTGAGGTGCAGGCGCACGTGGAGCTCGAATTGCCATGCCTCCCACTGTGGAGGCGGCCCTCCTCCGCCGACAATGAGCGATTCTGGTGACCGGTTTGCCCAGCCAGTTCTCTGGGCCGATTCCAGCAATAGCAGGAAGAGCCTCCTCAGACCTCCCCGCATCGGGATTAACGCGCGACGGACAATGCTCGGCCATTGTTGGACCTCGGGAATCCACAACCAAGATCGTCAAAACAGGCTCGGAATGAGAAACTGGTCTCGGGAAAGTGGCCCAGACCTCTGGCAGCCACGCGGCGGAAAATAGGAACAAACGCATAAACTTTACCTTTTGGCGCTCAGCGCGGACTTCTTGGATTCGCACTGGACCCCCCTCCCTAGCGCGCGGAGCGCGCCAGAGGCGGCGCCGGAGGCGGCGCCGGGGGGGCCCAGACGCGGATCCAATAAATCCGCGCGGAGCGCCAAAAGCTTATGTTTACGTTGTTTTCTTCTTCGAGAAAAGCACGACGTCGGAGGTCTGGGATTTTCCAGCTCTGGCGACGAGGTGCCCCCAGATCAGCCCCGCTGCCTCCAAGACAGCGGCGGCCGACGACCAGGCAGCTGCATGCGTCTTGGCAGGCCGTCTCTGTAACTGTGGTTTTTGTCTGTTTGTCGGTGGATGGACCACGGGTGTGCCGACGACGACGACGACGACGACGACGACGAGGACGACGACAGCGGCGGCGGAGGCGATGCTGGCGTTGGCGACGTCGACGACGACGACGACGACGGCGACGGCGACGGCAACGGCGGCTTCGGCGACGGCGACGGCGACGGCGGCGGCAGCAACGCAGACGCCTGCAACGACAAGGCGGCGGCGACGACGGCGAGGACGAAGGCGGCGACGGCGGCGGCGGCGGCGGCGGCGGCGACGGCGACGACGGCGGCGGCGGCGGCGACGACGACGACGGCCACAACGGCCACAGGGCGCCTCTGCAGCGTGGCCGCCTCCATCTTCTCGCGGCGGGCGGCGCTGGTGGGGCGGCGGTCGCCGCCGCCCTGCGCAGCCGCCCGCTCCCTGCGCGTCACCAGCTGCGACAGCGGCTGGGAGCCGCCCCTTCTGCGGCGCCGTCGAGCCTCGAGGCTCGAGGCTCGAAGCTCGAGGGTTGCGGAGCCCACGCTTGTCAGTAATGCTATTCTACTGGCGAAGTTTTTGACGACAAAACGCAATTCAAAAAAATAAACGTTTAAACGCCAAGCGGCTTGTGGTCACCGGAGACGGCCGAGCCGTCCTTCACCGTTTTCGAAGAGCTGTCACTCGAACACGGAAGCGGTTCCAAAACGGCGACCCGAACCGGCAAAAAGAGACGGCAACGGCTCCGGCAAAGAAACGGCAAAACGGAACCGGTAACAAAAACGGCCCTGTCGCTTCCAGGGCCCACTAGGACGAAGAGGACGAAGAGCAGGTGCTGGCCGAAGAGGCCCCAGAACGCCCAAGTCGGGGACAGACTGGGGTGGCCCCGAAGGCAACTGGCGAGTGTCTCAGTGAATTCGCGCGAGGACTATCAGGTGAACGTTTTCTTGTTCGGCGTTTCGACATTGGGCGGAAAAGGGGGGGGAGGGAGCGGGCCTGGCTCCAGACTTCTGCCTAATCCGGCTGTCTGCAACAGTGCATCCTATGGGGAAGACCCCCCCTGCTTGAAACAGGCGCCAACAACAGTCAAGATCTACTCCATAAGGGGGGGGGAGGGGGAGGCGAGGGCCCGTGCCAATCGGCAAAACGATGAATAAGAAAACGATCACCAGCGGGTTGTGCCCACTGTGTGTTCCAGCTCCTCAGGCTGCGGATCACCTCGGGGTGGCTATCTTCAGCTCTCTCGTGGACTCCGTCCCTGGCCTGCCTCATAGCGACTGGTTGGGAGCGGTCCTTTTGCACAATTCCAGCCTGGGGGAGCAGATGTGTTTAAACACGAAGTCACGCTTGCCCGAGACGCGTGACCAGGGAGAGACCCTGACGGACTCATCGGCCAGGCCCCACGTCTATGCCCATTGTTCGGAAGCGGTTGCTAAGGCCTTGCCTGCTTGGGAGCGTAGAGTGGCAGTCAGGGCGCGGATGGCCGAGGCCACGATGACGGCGCTGCTGGCTGACCGAGATCTTGGGAATAGCGTGTCTGCGACGCCGGACTCGCGCAGAATATTGCTGCAGGAAAGCACGAACAGCGCTGTCCTGCCACGGGGTTGGCCACGAGCCGGCCCCATCCACTATACGTGCCGACGCAAACATCGCCATGTTTCCCACGTCGCCGCCGGCACGCCCACGGGACGGGCTCGGCGAACAGACCCACTCCCTGCACCCAAGGGGGCTCCACCAACTGGGTGTTGAGGCCTCTGGTGTGCGCGCAATCCGTAACAAACACTTCGCCAAGCTCTTTCCCGCGTGGCTCCCCCCAAAAAGGATATCCGCCGCGCGCCCAGAAATCTCTGGCCCGAGGTCATCAGAGATCCGAGCTGGCACGACTTGTGCGAACTTGAACCAGGGGCGAGGTAGAGGTGCAGAACATGTTTCAGTGTTTCGTATGGGGAGGGCCGCACGCTGACGGGATGAAAGGGCCTCCAAGCGGCCATACGGACGCTTCGCGAAGCGGAGCTGCGTGGTCACAAGCTCTCTGCTACAACGATTCAGGATGATGCATGCCTGCCTCCCGTATTTTGCCATACGTGCGGGGCGTTTTCCAGCAAACGCTGTGTGTGTGTCTCGCAGATGACTGTGCACCTCAGATATCTAAAGGTGTGGGGCATACCCTATTAAGCATTCGTCGTGGTGTTCATCCCCACTACACTCTAGTGGGGCGGCGACTGGCTTCACATGTCGGCCCTCTGCTTCGGGTCTTGCTCAAGACGACTGGCTCGACTGCAGCGGCGCCATCCGGCATCTCCTCAAGCACAAGGCTCATCCGAACATCGGGGATGCCATCTGCTCGCCGAGCGCATCACAGCACGGGACCCCGCGGACAACACCCTCCTGCCAGGTCTGTTTCCCTCGCTGCGCTCTGCCCTGGAGCCCGAGGAAAGCAGCAAGCCGTCCCTTGCCAGGGGGAACAAAAAGTCACATAAGCATAACAACTCGGAGGCCCGCGCGGATTTCTCGGATCGGCGCTGGACCCCCCTCCCTGGCGCGCGGAGCGCGACAGGGGCGGCGCCAGAGGCGCCGCCGAGGGGGCCCCAGCGCCGATCCGAGAAATCCGCGCGGACCTCCGACGCGTTATCTTATGATCGTTGTGCCGTCCTCGGTTCTTCGCTGCCCCACGTCGAGCACACATGCAGGAGCAATCAGCTTCGCATCGAACACCTCGTGGGGCTGGGCCTAGTGGATACCAAATACGATGTTGTTATGTTTATGTGACTTTTTTAACAGGGGATATGTCGACCCCTATCCCAGGCTTCGTGGGGTTTCCGAATGGACCAGAAATTTGGGGCCTAACCCTGGGATATACGATGGGGGGGTGTCCATTCTCGATAGGGTGCGTCCGAATAGCCCCCTTGGGGTGTATCCCAGGGTTTTCCCATTCTTCTGAGCGGCCAGACTTTTCGGGCGAAACTCGGGGATTGGGGGAGAAACATCGCCCGCGATTTTTGTTCCCCTACTTGCTCCCCCTGGGCGCTGCCAGCCGCGCGACGATCGCCGCTCTCGCGTGAGCTCCCCGGAGGTCCAGGAGCTCCCTCTCCGCTGGCGGAGCTGCACAGGCCCCCAGGGAGGCGTCGCGCCCCGTGGGCGCTGCTAGCTGCAAGTCGGGCGTGTCCCCCTACAAAGGAAATCTTCGACGAAGCATGGAAAATACGCCAAAAAATCCGCCGACCCCTTGGGGATCATCGGCGTGTGAGATGCTTCCCCCTCCCCAAACCCCTCCCCCGGGAGCCCGGTCCGGTCGATTTGGAGGGGGGGGGGGGTCCGGGACGAGCGCTCCACGGGGCTTTTCCTGGCCCAAGAGGGCTTCAAGACGGGCCACGAAGCCCCCAAGAGGCCTCCAAGACGGCCCACGAAGGCTCCGAGAAGCCAAACGACCGCTCCAAGACGCCCACGATGGCCCCAAGACGGGCCAAGAGGTCTCCAAGACGGCCCCTGAGGTCCCAAATGAGCCTCCCAAGAGGGCCCAAAGAGTCAAAAATTTGTGATTTTCCAGAGTGTTTTTCGATGTTTTTTGCTTTTCCGCCTTTCCGGCTTCCCGACGCTCCAAGACGGGCAAAGAGGCCCCAAAGATAGCCCCAAGATGGCCCAAGAGGCCCCCAAGACGGCCTCCAGACGGCCCAAGACGGCCCCAAGACGGCCCAAGAGGTCCCCAAGACGGCCCAAGAGGGCCGATTTGGAGGGGGTGAGAAGGCCGGGACGAGCGCAGCACGGCCGGGACGAGCGGTTCCAGGGCTTTTCCGGGCCCAAGAGGGCCTCAAGACGGGCCAAGAAGGCTCCAAGAGGCCTCCAAGACGGCCCACGAAGGCTCCGAGACGCCAAACGACGCCTCCAAGACGCCCAAGATGGCCCCAAGACGGGCCAAGAGGTCTCCAAAGCGGCCCCCGAGGTCCCATACAAGTCTCCCAAGAAGGCCCCCAAGAGTCTAAAATTGTCGATTTTCCATAATGTTCTTCGACGTTTTTTGCTTTTCCGCCTTTCCGGCTTCCCAACGCTCCAAGACGCGCGACGAGGCCCCAAAGATAGCCCCAAGATGGCCCAAGAGGCCCCCAAGACGGCCTCCAGACGGCCCAGGACGGCCCCAAGACGGCCCAAGAGGTCCTCAAGACGGCCCAAGAGGGCCGATTTGGAGGCGGGGAGGGGGCCAGGACGAGCGCAGCACGGCCGGGACGAGCGGTTCCAGGGCTTTTCCGGGCCCAAGAGGGCCTCAAGACGGGCCAAGAAGGCTCCAAGAGGCCTCCAAGACGGCCCACGAAGGCTCCGAGACGCCAAACGACCCCTCCAAGACGCCCAAGATGGCCCCAAGACGGGCCAAGAGGTCTCCAAGACGGCCCCCGAGGTCCCAAACAAGCCTCCCAAGAGGGCCCCAAGAGTCTAAAATTGTTGATTTTCCATAGTGTTTTTCGATGTGTTTTGCTTTTCCGCCTTTTCGGCTTCCCGACGCTCCAAGACGGCCAAAGAGGCCCCAAAGACAGCCCCAAGATGGCCCAAGAGGCCCCCAAGACGGCCTCCAGACGGCCCAAGACGGCCCCAACACGGCCCAAGAGGTCCCCAAGACGGCCCAAGAGGGCTCCAAGACGGCACCACGAGGGGCCCAAGAGGGCGACCAAACATGTTGAAACTCTAGCTTTCTGCCCCCAGGAGCCCCAGGGGGCCCCAAGAGTGCCCCAAGAGGCCCCCAGAGGCCCTCACGAGGCCGCCCAGACGCCCCAAGGAACCCCCAAGAAGCACCCCAGAGGCTCCGAAACGGCCCCCGAGTGGCTCCAAAACTCGCAGTGTCGCTGTCCGCTCGGACCTCCCCGCGGAACTGCCCGAGACCCTCTGGCGGTGGCGGCGAACAGACACCAAACAAATATCACTCGCCTTTTCACCCCTTCGCAGCTTCTACTACCCCCAGATTGGCATAAACAAGGGGTCGGCGGTGTGGCGTAAGCCTAAGAATATTCCGAAATGGTCAGAAGATGCTCCAAAAATGGTCCCCCGACTCTTCTTTGACGATTCTTGGACATTCCCCCTGTAGAGGGACAGGCCCGACATAAAACTGACCTCGCAACCGTCGCCACGCTCGTGCGCACCTGGGGGGTCCAGCTGAATGCGGGAGTCTAGCACGCGGGACCCCAGCGGGACCACGCCCCCTGGGCGCGACCAGATGACAATTGGCGCCGCGTTCGTGCTCTCCTGGAAGGCTCCATTGGAGCGAGCTCTCATCCAGGCCCGAGCGGGCATCGTCCTCCCCGGGCCCTGCCGACTGCGTCGCGCTGGCAGTGCTCGTGAGCTCCTGGGAGGCCCAGCGGAGTGAGCGGCGGACTCCCCAGGCTCGAGCGGGGACCCGCGGGGACCCGACCATCCCGTGACGCTGCGAGCTCTGCCATGGCTACCACGCTCGCCGGCTGCTGAGCAGGGCAGGCGAGCGCGGGGCGATGCAAACCCAACGGGGACCTCCTCCACGAAGGCTGCCAAATACGCAACCGGCGCCCCTTCCGTGAGCTCCTGGAGGGTCTGGCAGAGGGGCATCTCACGCAGACCCTACGGGACCGTGGCTCTCTGCTGCTGACCGCGCGGCTGTTGCCCTCCTCGCGCGCTCCTGGAAGTGCAGCGGAGTGGCGCCTCGCGCGGACCTAAGCGGGACCTCGCCCTGTCTGGATGCTGACAGCTGCGCAACTGTTCCTGCCTTCTATACTTCTGGGAGGTCCAACGGGGTCACGTCCTCCTCATATCCGGAACCTCGCCTCCGTGGATGCTGCCAATTGCGCAACTTCCGCCACTTTCGTATGCTCCCGGGAGGTCCAGCAGAGTTCAAACTTGCACTGATCAAACGAGGGCTCGCCTTCCTGGCGGGGTCAGTGGAATGAAATCCTGCGCAGATCAAGTGTGACCTTGCCTTCCCCCGGTGGTGCCAAGCGCGCTGCTGCAGCCACTTTTGTTCGCCCGTTGGCGTAACGAGCAGGTCCGCGGAGTGACGTCTTGCGCGGATCAAACCCGATCGCCCCTCCCTGAGTGCTGCCAACTGCGTAGCTGTAGCTGCCTTCGTGAGCTCCTGGGAGGTCCAGCGAAGGAACGTCTGAATCAAAGGGGGGCCTCGCCTCCCTAGGTGCTGCCCAGTGTATGCGTCGCCGCTCTAGTGGGCTCCCGGCAGGTCCAGCGGAGTGAGGTCTTACGCCCTGGCGTCGCCTCATCAAGGCTTCTTCAGAGCGCGCAGCTTGTAGGTTCTTGGGAGCGCGCAGTGTGGCAGATGGATTGGGCACGTCCCTGTGTCACAGTATTCCGTGGCGAGCCCCAGGGAGGCCCCAGCAGCCCTAAAGGCCTGCAAAACGGCCCCAAGGAAGACCCTACGGTGGCCTGGGTAAGCGGCCAACATGCTCCCATATCGACATATCCGCGAAGACACTTAGGGTTGACTCATCGCTCTGCTCAGGCTGATCCCGAGCTTCGGGTCGACGCCCCCCCTCCCTCTTCGTTCCACCGCTTGCTCCTGCACGCCCCTGATCACAACAACTCGTCTGGGCATCGTCCTCGAATCTGTACGCGACGCGTCTAGCAGTGTGTTTCGTGGCGAACGGAGGCGTGGGAACGCTCGCTGCGACGGACGCGGGCAAACAAAACGAGATCCTGGCCGCCGTTCAGGGGCACCGCGACCGCGGGGCACACGGCCCTCTGGCGGAGCTGGTAGAGGGCCACCTGGCGGCGCCTCCCGTGCCCCCCTTCCATATTCCTCCTCATCTTCCTCCTCCTCCTCCTACTCCTCCTGCTCCTGCTCGTTTTCCTCCTCCTCCTCCTCCTTTCTTGCTCCTTCTCCTCCTCCTCCTCCTCCTCCTCCTCTTCCTCCTCATCCTGTCCTCCTCCTCCTCCTCCTCCTCCTTCGCCTCCTGCCCCTCCTCGTCTTCCTCTTCCTCATCCTCCTTCTCCTCCTCCTTCTCTTCACCGTCCCCTCCCTCCATCACCCCCTGTCCTCGTCCTCCTCCGCTCATCCTCCTTCTCCTCATCCCTCCCCCTCTCCTCCTCCCGTTCATCCGCCTCCCTCTGCCATCCGTTCTACTCTCCTCCCCCCGCCGCCCCTCCTCCTCCTCCTCCTCCTCCTCCTCCTCCTCATCTTCCACCTCATCCTCCTCCTCCTCCCCCTCCTCCTCCCCTCCTCCTCCTCCTCCTCCCCCTCCTCCTCCTCCTCCTCATCTTCCACCTCATCCTCCCGCACCAAATACAAGCAGGGGCTCTACAGCGAGGGTGGCACCCCGTCGCAGGCTTGATATTCACCCAACCCCGACAGCGCCCCACAAGGACAGGCTCAACAACCCCCCAAGTGTAATTAAGCAGATCGCCATGCAACTCGCGCAGCAACAAACCACAAAAACGGCAACTCTTTATGTACCTTCGGACGCAGAACGGAATGTACAATCCAAGGCCGTGCGCAGCATCGAAATAGTCACGAGCGCATATAAGTGTGCAAGTGCTGCCGCACTTCGACATCGGATGTCCCGAATGATGTAGCGTCTGCCCCAGGGAGGTTCACGCATATTAACAAGCACTGCTTCAATTCTTCTCGACTGCCGAATCATTGGATTCGGAATGCGGGGCAACTGAAGCCGGCAACGCAGAAAGCATATCCACGTGCGCACATGGTTGGATGTACATACGCATGCATTCCCACGCGCTCGCACACACAACAACAACAACAACAACACCAACACCAACAACAACAACAACACCAACAACAACACTATCAATAGCAACAGCAACAACAACACCAACAACAGCAACAACCAGACCAACACCATCAACATCATCAGTAGCACCAACAACACAACGAACAACCACAACATCAACACCAGCATCACCAACAACACCAACAACACCATATCAACAGCAGCAACAGCAATAATAATAACGACGACACCAACAACCACACCAACAACAGCAACAGCAGCAACACCAGCAATAACAACAACACTCAGTGTAAGACTGTTCGCTCTTGTTCTGCTCGGGTGCCATTCAACACGTAGGTCCCAAACCCTCGAGACCCGCCCTCTCCGTCGTCGATCGTGCCCCCTTGGGGGTACATCTTCCTAACCTGCAATGTGTATTTCGTGCAGCCCCTAAGGCAGGGGAAGAGAGGACGGGCGGAAGGAAGGACGCAGGGCGCAGCATTGAAAATGGAGTCATGCGAGCACGAAACCACCGCTGAGCCAAAGGGAATGTGGAAGCACGACTTACGTAAGAGGTACGCGGTGCTGCGTGCGAGGTCAGACCACTGTCACAGCTTAGCTCCAGCAGCTGGGTGCCGCCGGTCGACGAGCCAGTCCCACAAGGGGGAGGGAAGATGGAGCACGAGAGCGAGTAGCAGGAGGGGGGCTGGGAGCAGAAAGAACGTGTCAGAACCAGACGGGCAGATCGGGTGGGTAGACCCTGACGGGCGGGTCGGGAAGGCAGGCCCAGGCGGCCCGGCCAGGTCGAGCAGGGCAGGTTGCTGAAGCGCGCGTCCTGCATGAATCGCGAGGAAGTCTCGAGCGACAGCGAGGTTCCCAAACAAATCGTGAGGACATCCACAGCGAGAGCATGGTTCCTGAGTGTCGAGGGCGCGGCGTCGGAATACATTGCGGGGCAGTCCAACGCGAGAGCGCGATTTCTGCATACAATGTGAGGACGTCCTGCGCGAGAGCGCGATGTGGGAATACCTTGTGAGGAAGTCTCAGGCGGGAGCCGTTGTTGTTGTAACTTACCCAGGGCCCACGACACAACTCTGAGATTCAAGACGGTCCCTTGTAAAAAAATTAGGGTGCGACCCCCGGGAGAAGCACTTTGAGTGAACAACACAATGTGCCCTGGAGGGGGGATCAGCAGTACTGATTCTTCAATTGGGAGGGTTCAACAACAAGAACACCGCCAGCAACACCAACAACAGCAACAAGAGCAGCAACAACAACAACAACAACAACAGCATGAGCAGCAGCAGCAGCAGCAACATTAGTAACAACAGCAGCAACAGCAACAGCAACAACAACCACACCAACACACACACATGTATACACATATGTATCTATAGATACGTGTACGTATGTAAACTTACTTCTGATATATCTCTGTATATCTCGATATATATATATATACACATCTATCCTCGGCACCTCGTTGCAACAAGTCCGAGGGCTGAGCCACCACGGGCGCCCTCCAGCAATGTGCTGCGAGTGCGCCCCGGCGCCCAGGGACAACGCACCCGACGCACCACGAGTGCCCGCCCAGTCGGCGCGACCGTTCCGACCACGGGGGGAGGAGGAGGAGGAGGAGGAGGAGGAGGAGGAGGAGGAGGAGGAGGAGGAGGGAGGAGGGAGGAGGAGGAGGAGGGGAGGAGGAGGAGGAGAAGGAGGAGGAGGAGGGAGGAGGAGGAGGGGGAGGCGAAGGTCAAGAAGGCCAGGCAGAGGCCTCGGCGCGAGCGCCAGAGGCCCCGAAGGAAGGCCGCGCCTCCGTGCGCTCGTGCGCCCTCCGCGTCCGCGCCTTCCCATTCGGCTCCCGCACGGCCACTGTGAGGGAGCTGAAGGGAGCTCGGGGGGGGGGAGGGCAGCGTCCACGAAGAGGAGGAGAAGGAAAAGGAGGAGGAGGAGGTGGAGGGCAGGAGGAGGAGGAGGAGGAGGAGGAGGAGGGCCTTCTCGCTCGACCCATCGGCTCCCGCACGGCCACGGCTACGATGAGGTCGGGCATGTCCCTCTACAGGCGGACCTTGGAGGAAAAAGGAACAAACGTGTCAAACATATCAAAAAGTGGTGAACATTCCTCGAAGCATCGTCCCCAGACTATTTGTGGACCATTTTTGAATACTCCTCCTCCAGAGGGACATGCCCGATTTAAGACTACGAGCCGGCAGGCCGGGCGAGGCCAGCTTCCTCTCCACGGCTGCTGGGCAGGCCCCCCCGCAGCTTCTTGCTGGGCCCAGGGCGCCCTTGAGGAAGCCAAAAGGGACCGAGACTGCTACACCCCGGACCTCTCCCCATGGGGTGCGTTCGGACTGGAATTTCGAGGCGAATCCATCGGTGGCGACGCAGGCCTCCCAGGAGGCCCCCAAAAAGGCGAAAGCAAGGGAAAGATGGCGATATGGATACCTGATCCTCCTCTGACCTGCTGGGCACAGTGCGCAACAGGCGCTTCCTTCCCAGGCGATGATCGAGCAATGCTCTTCCCTGGCAGCCCTCCCGTGCTCTTTCCCGGAGGAGCGCCCGCTGTCGGTGCGCGCAGCATCCCTAGGCGTGCGGGCGCGGCCGCGCGAAACTACTGATCAGATGAAGCCGCGCACATGTACAAGAGACGTGATTCGGGGTCAATGCTATACTGGATAATTCAGGCCGGATCCTGCAGGATCCTGCAAGATCCTGCAGGGTCCTGCAGGGTACTGCAGGATCCTGCACGCAAGCCCAGGGCAATGCACCCCTGGGCCTGCAGGATCATGCAAGATGCGGCGCTCTGGCTGACTCCCGGGTGCTTTGACCCCCGCCTCGAGGCTCCCGTGTGCGAAGCAACCCCGCCGGCATCGAGGAACTCATTTCCTCCGCCGGCGATCACGATAGATGACTTATTTTCCTCCGCCAGCGAAGCATCGAGAAATACAAGACGGCACAAACATTAACATTTCAACGGCCCGCGCGACTTTCTTGGATCTGAGCTGGGCCTCCCTCCCTGGAGCTCAGAGCGCGCCAGGGGCGGCGCCGGAGGCGCCGCCGGGGGGGCCCAGCGCAGATCCAAGAAATCCGCGCGATCCGCCAAACGACTATAGGTTGGTGCAGTTTTTAGAGGAAAGAGAACTATGCACATACACCGATTCTGGCCAGGCCCATCCTGAGCCCAGGATCGGTGCATACGCCCTCCTACCTTGGCCAGGAAGGTACATGCACCGATCCTGGGTCAAGGGCGGGCCTTGCCAGGATCGGTGCATGTGCATAGTTCTCTTCGCCCGAGTTCTGTGTTCTTCGAAAGCGCTCCCACTGCCGCGAGAGATGAGGGGCTGCGGCCGCGCTGCGCCCAGGGCTGTGGCCGAACGGGGCGACATATCGGCGGGCGCGGCGCGCCGGCGGGCAGGAGAGGACTGCTCGAAGACCGAGCCGCGAGATGTACACCCTGCGAAATGCTTAAGAAATCATGGGTTAAGAAATTCATAGTCTCAGAATTTAACTAAAACCCAAAATTTCTATCAACATCTTGGGATTTACACTGAAACGTTAAGAATAATCGAGACTCTGGCCGAAAACTTAGGTTTTCTTAAGCATCGCCTAAGGTGTACAGTTTGTGTGTGTGCTCTTCGGCAGCGGCCGAGCGCCCACGTGGTCGAAAACCGGCGGGCCGCACGCGGCTAGAGCGCACTTTCTGATTCGCGGCCATCGTGGGCGCTAGGGGGGGGGAGTAGGGAGGGGGCAGAACGTAGCGACCCTGCCCCGCCCACTTGTGGTGCTGGACGCACCGGTGCAGAGCCGGGGACGCACCGAGGGAGGGAGCGTTACGCTATGAGGGGGGAGGGGGTGGGAGGGTGGGGGGCACATCGCGCGATATGGCCCAGAGGGTAACAAAAACACTCTCACAGGGCACTCTGGGCAGGAGGAACAAAGAGGAGGGAAACTGCGGAGGGGGAGCGAGGGGGGAGGCCTCCGGCGACGAGGGCCCACACCACGACGAGCGCGCGGGCGGCCTCGTGCACCGAAGAG